AGCTAAGCATTCGAGAAAGGGCTGCCATAGCCAATAGTTGGGAAGCTACATACCGAGTCACAGTCCTAGAGGGTTCAAGAACTTTGGGAGGAGAATCAGGTGATTGAGTTTTGAAAACCGTTGTTATCAGATTATGTTCTGTGATGGCATGAGCGATGCTTAGTATCGGTTGAAACGTGCCGTTGTATCAGAGCAAAGCCCACCAATACGGCAGTACTATTACGTTTCTGACCTGGGAAAATCCATATTTGGAAATTCATATGCTAAAACTGAATGGTAGGTAAAGAATTTGCAATCTTGTATATGCCTCTCGAAGAGAATATGTACACCAAATGGGAAATGACCTATGCAACCTCGCTAAAGCTCAACGATTACTCGGCCTTCTGCGCCGGAATATCGAGGGTGCTGAAGTTCCAAGTCTTGCCGCCGTCGGGAGATGACATGTCGCCGCCAGTAGCCCCATGTTCCCAGCCCCCGGTGTGCCCAAAGCTTTCATCAGCTTGGGTAAGGACAATAGAGACATCTTCCCAGCCTATTTCATTGTCAGCTGTCAATCCTCTTGCGGAAGGCTTGATTTACTTACTATGCGCAGGGTGCTCGGCGCAGCCACCAGACGCGCACTCGATAGAAATATAAAAGATGTTTCCTTTCTGTCCTTTGCCTTCAAAGACTCTGTCAGTTTTGTTACAACAAACAATAGACAGCAAGTGAAAATGTACTTACTGGTTGAGACGGAGGAAGCGAGTTTGTTATCAATGTAGACATCTTGGTCCCAGAGATTCGTTGCCGAGTTCAACTTGTCTGCCGATTTCTTCAGTCACCACATCGCCTAGCTACCAGCTGGACTAACTTACAGTGCGTCCTAATTGTGGATCCAGGAGAGGCAGTGACAGGGTCACCAACAGTCGGGTTTGAGCCTGTCGCGGTGTCATGTCAGACGGGGTCTTTGGGTGTTTCAACTTGATTCTTGCAGGCCAAGTCACTTACCGACCAGGGTGTACGCAAAGTTGCACCAACTCTTTCCTGCGTCGTTACAGTATGATCTTTGCAACACGATTAGTAAATTATCTTGAGAAGGCTTGAAGGCAGGCCGTCTTTCTTCTTACCCACTAGGAGAGTTAGAGGTTACGCCTTGCAGGAACGATGCCTGGTTCTCCATCATGATGGCACTCCATATGGCGACGTCTCCTGAGACAGAGCTAGGTAGCTTGGGGAGAACGAGAGTGGCACTGGCCTCCTGGATGTAGGCTGCGCCATTGGTGAAGAGGGAAACGATGTCGGAGTTCGCCTGGGTTAGACCCAGAAGTATAGCGAGGACGCCTCCAATAGCTGTGTTGGTGCCCTTCATAGTTACTGATTGAGCTCAAATGAATACCAGAAAGGTTCAAAGGTAAATTCTGTTTCGTCTCTGCGCAATGTACTAGACGAGAAATGGTTGTAGGATAGAGTCTAACAGCTTTATATGAACGAAGCTGAGTCCCCTGAGAGACAATGAACCCCTGAGAGCTGGCCAGGGGCTGGCACATGATGTTGGGACGAACATATCCAGATGAAAAGTTCTATTCGGAACTACATCTAGGATTGTTCGCCTAGCAGTCTTCTGGAGCATGGACCATATGTCTCCGAAGGGCGTTGTTTCCAAAGTCCTTTTGAGAGTGACATTGTAATTATTCCGTCCGATATATGACCTTAGGTGGGGTTGGAAGACAAAGATTAATCTATGCATATCGTTAGCGCGTTTCTCAGATTGAGTGCAATGATGCCGGGACCCGGAGTAGCCCGCTTTTCTTACACCATTAATTATTCCTGCACGCACTTTAATCCTCTTCCCGAAAAGTTTAGAGGCAAGTCTCGCCGACGCACCAGTTTCAGCTACTCAGGCTCGGCTTACATTGAAAGCCTTACGGCGGAACACCACTACCTTATCACTCTCTTGTTCTTGCTTGTTCTTAAGCGCTATGATAAAACTGGGTTACCTTTCAGAGCGGTGATCCTGACAAAGTTCAAAAGTCAGACGTTGTCGCTTCTCCCTGGCCATGTAGCGTCGAGGTCAAGTAGGTTCCAGTCAGCTTTCAATTTGATGTCGTCATCCACCGAGGCGGATTCCCCTGATTGATTAGCAAGCAACCCAGACGATTCTGTGAGCCTCAAGGCTTCCATATGAGACGCCTCGTCTTGTTGCGCAAGATAGTGCAAGGCGTTTTGCGCCGGTGGCTGGCAACGACCTGCGATAGATACGAATCATGTTGTGCCAACATATATCAGAGTGCCTGGAGACCCTGGATGAAATTCAGCGCTAGGAGCGAGATTGAGATGTTACTGGCCGAAGATTTCCAGCTCGTCGCGCTATGTCCGTTAGTCGCATGCAAGTTCCCGGCTGGGCGCGCCATCGGACAACGATTGGGATGCCTCATGGTTCGCCTAAGTAACTGGAGGGGCACATAAATCCCCAACAATTGGCACAAATGAAACATTCGGCAATCTTGCGCAACAAGATACCCGTCTGTGACGTTGTTACAATGGTCGAGGCGGTAGTCAATCCTCTCCCGGTTCTGCTGGGTTGGGATAGCGCCAAATCATGCTTTCGCACCAGCGCCCATGAAAGCGATGTTGAGGCAAATCGCCAATCTTTTCCCTTTCTTTACGATGACTTAGACCAGCCTGAAATCCTCAAAACCTCCACGGAGGCTCTGCAGCGTAGTGCCAAAGTAGCTATTCAGCAATACTACCAGTTGGAGTACGAGGTTGACCCCCTCTCCTCGTTGAAGCTCTTGGGTCACTGGAATGAACCTTGGTTTACGCCAGGGGTAAACTCCGCTTTTGTAGTCCTCGCAGCACACAGCCCTGAGCTTGTAGTTCGACTTCATGTTCTGCTCAAAGAGCTTACGACTTTAAAGGACGTTGACGAGAACTTTCCAAAATTCGAGATGTATAGCTCATACCCGAACGGAAATCAAGCACTGGGCCTACTGCAGGGGCAGACGCTGCTCACTTATCCCAACAGAGGGGTCTGGAACAAGGTGTTTGGGGCCTGGAGAAATGGCACACTCTCTGAGCTACGCGATAGGGTTGCAGCGTTTGAGTCGGCGCTTCAATGGCCGCGAGAGAGCTGGACGGTGCTCCAAAGCTTGATCGAAAGTCTCCAAAAAGAAGTTTCCCTCGGAGTCATGGAGAAGCTGCGCGTGAGTGTCGATGCGACATTTGACTTCTTTGATGGCAATGTCCAGAAGTGCCGGAATGCCATTACGACCTTGGAAGAAGAGGAGCAAGGTAAGTGATGGAACATGATATTCGAAGCTCATGTTGTTTCCTTTGGCCATACCTAGGACCTCCCAGGCTAACTGAGCATACAGCAAAACTCTCACTCGTACCCGAACCGGGAATATTCAAGACTCCTTCCATGTCTTCGGCTATTGAGGTCGTTTCGATTGACATGAACAAACTTCGGCCACGGACAGGACAGTCAAAAGGGCCCGGCCCAAAGAAGCTGCAAAAGAGACCCCCTCAGATGAGAAGTGGAGGCAAAACTATGGCATCAAGGAATCGATCGAACCTGAAGGAGCCCAAGCTCTGGCGCACTCTCTGCCTTTCTCTCGTTACTTGGCTTGTGGTGGTGTCACTGCCATTCACAGTGCTGTCAACATTCCTATGCGAGGCCCCAGACGGCGTTCCTATGTACGACAGCAACTTCCACTCAACACTGAGCCAACAACTATTAGGGTTCGGCGGGCTCTATGCCATTGTCAAGCCTCAGCTGATGCAATGGTTCTCTGCACTCGGTTGGTTTAAGAAAGAAGGAAAGAAGCCTCCCAAAGGGATAGAGACGAAGTGGCCCATTACTTTCAACTGCTTAGTTACCCTAGCCTTTGTCACTCTGTTGGCTAGCGCGCCTGTCTATCCGTATTATCCCCAGTCTAGTATCCCGCTCGGGGCTGTCGCGGCGATCTGCGCCAATCTTGCGACATTACTCATTATTGAAGATACTGGGAGCCAGATTGTGGAGCAGGTGTACAAGATTGAAGAGCAGTATGATGAGATCTCAGAACTGAATCATGAGCTACAGGATCTGCGCGGAAGAGCCTGAAGAGTAATTGGGGCGAAAGTTTAGGCGAGGTAGCGGCAGGCCTGAGTTACTCATCGGATCGAAGTCTAGTCAAGTGCGAATACCTAGATACCTTGGATCCTGAAATTGACGATATGGTGCATCTGCGGCTTTGAATGTTGGCCCTTTCATCCTCTCTGCCACACGACTCACCACCCTCGCTAGCTTCCATGTTGAGGTGCACCGCCTGCAACACCCCATCCTCTCTAATTGCCTAAAATTATGCAAGTCCCACAATGGCAATGCGAATGAAACTTCTTGCCACACTGATTTTCACGTCAATCCGCAGTGCTGAACCATCTGAAAACGATGGCGGAACTAGCTCTAAGCTGTCCTGGCCAACTTCTCCCATTCCGCAGTTCCGCCCTCGACTTAGGGAGCAGAGCCCCGAGCGAGAACAATGAACCAATCAGTGGTCTCAATTCCACAGCTTCCTCATACGATGCCAATAGCCGTTCCCCGCAGTCGGCTTGCCGCTGGGATCCTTCTTCCCCGCAGGAACCTCCCGGGTGGCTGCAGCTCGCCTCCTCGTCCGAGCCCATCCTCGTCGGCATAGGAAGGCTAGGAGCGGTTCTCCTACGCCTTTCGCGTGTCAAGCAGACCCCTCGAGCAAGCGGAATTGTCATGCTTACACGCGTGTGATGTATTAGCCACAAGATCAGTGAAATAAGACCGAGCCCGAGTCCAGACGTGTTGTTGGACTGGCCTTCTTCCACCTTGAAGCTCCCCAGTGAATCTCAAGATACCAACTCTCAGTACCTGACGTGTTATTCAACATTGAACTATCAAGATGTCCGAAGCAGACTACATCCTCTACTCCTACTTCCGCTCCTCCTGCTCAGCCCGCCTCCGCATCGCCCTGAACCTCAAATCCATCTCCTACACCACAATCCCAACCAACCTCCTCAAAGACGAACACCTCTCCGACACCCACCGCGCCCTCAACCCCTCCGCCAGCGTGCCCCTCCTCGTCAACAGGTCTGACGCAGACTTCAAAGTGACTCAATCCGTCGCGGCCCTCGAGTACCTCGAAGAAGCCCACCCCTCGACCACGCCCCTCCTCCCCAAGGACGCAAAGACGCGCGCCGTGGTCCGGAGCCTGGTCAACATTGTCGCCTGCGACATCCAGCCCGTGACGAATATGCGGATCATGAGGCGGATCAGGGCCATGGGCGGAAATGCGGAACAGTGGAACCGCGAGTTGATGGCGGATGGGTTTGCGGCGTATGAAGCTGTTGCGAAGGAGTGGGCGGGGAGGTGCTCTGTTGGTGATGAGATTTCGTTGGCGGATGTGTGTTTGTTGCCTGCGTATTGGAATGCCGAGAGGTTTGGGGTTGATTTGAGCCCGTATCCGACTGTGAGGAAGATTGCGGAGGGGTTGAAGGAGAATCCGGCTGTTGTGAAGGCGCATTACTTTAACCAGCCTGATACTCCTGATGAATTGAGGGCGAAATAAGCTGTAATCATAGGTCAATTGAAGTTAATAAGCAATTGCAGCCAAATTTGCCTCGCCCATCTCATGATCAATCAGTGAACAAGATGACCAGATATGTCACGGAATGAAACTCGCATGCTATGTGCACAAAATGAAGGACTTTTCATTATTTCATGCTCATTCTATCTCTCGATCACGATTGTCGCGATCAGAAGAGCTTCAGCGCAGCCTCAATCTTGCCCGAAACCTCACCAAATCCAACCAACGCGCCTTCCTGACCACTCCAGCCGCGGATGATGAGGGTATCGCCATCCTGTAGGAACTTGCGCTCCTCGCCTCCGGTCAATTGCACGGCCTGCTTGCCCCCCTGCGTCTGCTCGAGGATACTTCCCTCGGTGCCGGGCTCTGTGCCAGAAATCGTGCCAGATCCCAGCAGATCGCCCGGTCGCAGGTTGCAGCCGGTGATTGTGTGGTGGGCAATCATCTGCGGCCAGGACCAGAGCAGGTTCTTTGAGTTGGTGCGGCTGATTGTGGTCTTGTTTCCGCTCGCAGCTGGAGAAGTGACACATGTTAGCATCTTTAGTCAGGGAAGGGTTCATGGGATCAGAATGGGAACGTACTGATAATGTCAACTTCCAGGTCGACGCCTAGAACGTTGTTCTTCTTGCTCTCGCGCAAGTAGGGCTGCAACTCCGTCTTGTTCTCGATACCAGCCGTCTTGGCTCCGTCCAACGCATCCGCAAGAACAACCCACGGGCTGATACTCGTGCCCAGGTTCTTTGAGGTAAAGGGTCCCAGAGGAACATACTCCCACGCCTGGATGTCGCGAGCGCTCCAATCATTCATGAGAACGTAGCCAAAGATGTGCTCCTCGGCCTGGTCGACGGGTACCGGCTCACCAAGCTTATTCTCCCGGCAGAGGAACATGCCCATCTCCAGCTCAATATCGAGCCTCTGGCACGGCGCGAGCGTCGGCACCTTGGGCTCGGCCTTGGGGTCCTTGAGGATCTGGCCCCACGGTCTGCGAATGGGCGTGCCGGAGACGACGACGCTGCTCGCGCGACCATGGTACGCGACTGGGAGATGCACGTAGTTTGGCTGCAGCGCATTATCCGGGCCGCGGAAGAGCACGCCGACGTTATAAGCGTGGTTCTTGCCGGCGTAGAAATCGGTGTAGTCGCCAATGGCGAGGGGCAGGTGGTTCTGGATCTCGGAGAAGGGGATCAGGGCCGTCTTGCGCAGGTCGGCGTTGTCTTTGAGGAGGCCTGCGTGCGGGGTGTTTTCTGCGAGGACGGACTGCAGATATGTGCGGACTTCTCTGTGGACTTTGCGGCCTAGGGCGGCGAAGTCGTTTAGTGTGGTTGAGGAGAAGACGGAGACGTGGTCTTGGATGGAGGGCAGGGCGTGGAAGCCGCCGGCCTTTGCAAAGGCCTTGAGGTCGAGGGCATGGTCGCCAATGGCGATGGCGGGCCGGTGAGTCTGGTCTGAGGTTGTGGAGATGATGCCGAAGGGGATGTTTGCCAGCGAGAAGTGGCTTTTGGGGGAGACAGAGACCCAAGATTGCGTGTTTGACATGATGGCGTTGTTTGTCTGTTTGGAGAGAGTGTTCGCTCAAGGTATTGGTAGTGAACAATGCTTCAATAGACAATAACAAGACGATGTCTCTCTGTTCTTCAAGAATTCTAGAGAAGATGAAGCTTCAGGGTCTCAGTGTGAGGTCATTGCTGTTTGGAATTGGGCGATTCCGCAATTCCGCCGCAAGCCGAGCGGGTAGGTGTGGGAACCGGGCCGCCGCGGAATGAAATGGTCGCTGCGGGGTAGCTCGGCGCCGTGGCGGGGGAATTCTTCTGCCCCTCAAAGCCGCGAGTAGGCGACGCATTTCCGCCTTTACAATTCTTTGATATTCAAAAGGTTGGTGTAACCCGAGAATCATGTCGCATTATCTCTCGCCGCATCCCGAACGTTGGATGCTACCCAAGTTGAGTTGGGTTGAGTTAATGGCCTTGCCACGGTATTGTCTGACAAACAAAGGTGTCAATACTCTCATCTGCCTCAGAAGTAAAGGTTCTGCTGCGACTTGGACAACTCCTTGGCCTTGCTGAGGCTATCAGACGATGCCCTGTTCACAGGAGTAGAGACCATTGGCGTCTTAGCTCGAAGCTGAGGTTCAATGACGGCATCAGAAATGCCCTGGTGGTCTGACACTGATCCAGGTACCGAGCCAGGGTCTCTTGGCGGCGGAGGAGGCGCAAACATGGGATCCGATACTGTTGATATGAGCGACTGAGGACTCGCGGCAGGAAGGTCGATGGCAGGATCATTGTGCTCTGTAGCCTTGGACCGGTACCAGGCTTGAATATCGTCAGGTGTCTGCAACGGGAGGCTATCCCATTCCTTGACACGGTCGACCTTGTTCTGTCTTGGTGTCCATGCAGCTTGGGGTAGGAGGGCTGGTGAAGAGGCAGAGTCGAAACCTTGGGTATGATCAAGGGGTCCTGAGAGTACGCGGAAGAGAGCAGCTTCAGTCTCGGCGAGTCGGGTTTCTAGCTTGTTGAGATACCCATTAGGAATTCCCCTGATCACTTGTCGTTAGTATTCATCATGGCTATCTGACTGATTGTAGATGGCTTCATACCTTTTGCTTTGCTCTGGGTATTGGCATCGTCCAGGCTCGTGGCTGCATTGGAGACAGAACGGTCTGCGGGGAAGAATATTCAGCCTCAGGACTTGGCCAGACAAGGGTGCCTCTCAGAGTGCCGGGGAGCCACTTACAACTTCCTATCACACTTGAACGGTATTAGTCAACTGCCGTGGTCAAAGTCGCCTAAAGACACATTGTCGGACTAACCCGTCGTTTCCTCTGGCGGCAACTCTCGCAGGCAATGGGACTCTGCAAAGCGCTGCCTTCTCTCTCGCTGCTGTTTCGGGACATCTTACGATTCCCTCTTCTTTCTGGAAAATTGAACTCGAAGTAAAATTTCGTATCGAAAACCACTATTGCCGTTGTCGTCCTCCCTAGTCCATCGAGCATGGCCGGCGCAAAACTGGTGTTCAAGAACAAAACTCCATGGCCGGTGCGGGGTTTTCTTTGTCCGCCGGTGCCCCACCCACCGGAACGTGCCGTGTCATGGCCCCACCCTCACCGACGTCGCCCCCGACGCGGGCGCGTCAGCCTCTCGCTGGTTTCCTTTCTCGGACAACGATGCTTTTTTCCGTCCTCATAGTCTCATTCCTCTCAAGTCTCGCTCTCGTACAATGTTCCAAAGGCTAATAGTTGGCTGATCTTACCCCAGACTTGGCACATCTGGCACTTCTGCCATTTTCTCCTCCGCACAACAACGTCCGTTGACCGCCCTTCCTCACCCTTTCTTCTCCTCTCTTCCTTCATAGGTTTACTCTCGTTGTACCTCGGCGGACAATTCTCTTGTGTCCCAAGGCCGTCTTCTCTCTCTACCCTCTTCTCCACAATCACACCATGCTTTGGGTCCCCACCGTTCCTCGAACCGTCCACTGAAGACGGGCTATCAATCCCCAGGTCTTCATTCACACCTCAGAGCGGCCATCCCACTCCCTCCGAATGGATGCCGTAGAGTCGCCCAATGCCACCTCCGAGTCGGGAACCCTCAGCCCGGCACACTTCAACCACTCACGCAAGCGGAAACACTCGGGCTCAACAGACCGTCCCACACGCGAGTATGGCTTGATGCGAGACACGGGCAAGCATGACACCGCCCGCTTCGTTGGCTCAGGCAGCGGCATTCACTTTATCCGGGGCGTTTATGTCAGGCTGGCCCGCAAGTCCGCCCTCAGGACATCCCAGTCCACTAACAACATTAGCGACCTCGTCCCCGGAGAAGACGACCAGCTCCAGCGGGAGACCTCATCGCGTGATGGAGACGAGCAAAACCTCTGGCGCAGCTCTGAGTTGATACCAGAACCCGAAGGCGATGACTTCAGTCCGACCTTTGAGCAACTCGTCGACTGGTCGAGGAGCTACTTTGAAGCATGGCACCCGACGCTTCCTTTCCTCAGTGCCCCAGATGTACTCAACCTCTTTGAGGAAGTTAGTGCTGGCGGCGTGGCTGCTCTCGGCCATCTCGAGCGCTCGATTGTAAAGTCGATACTATCAATCTCTCTAGCTGACAGTCGCCAAAAGGCTCCCTTTTCTCAGCCAGTCCCATCCTCCCTCGTCTTCCGCACAGTCGAGGAGGCAATGTCGGCGTCACAATTCGCCCTCTACCAACCAGCTTCGATCCAAGCCACACAAGCTGCCCTTGCCATACAACTGTTTCTCGTCTCCATGTTGAGACTGAACTCGGCATCGAGACTAGGCGGTTTGATCGTCAGAATGGCTTTCCACCTAGGCTTGCACCGGTGCCCTTCGAGATACCCCTTCTTCACTAAAGAGGAGGCGCACATGCGCCGACGTGTCTTTTGGTGCATATACTGCACGGAGCGATTCTTATGCCAAGCCCTAGGCCTCCCGCTAGACATCCGGGACGACGACGTCGATGTGTGCTATCCCGGCGAAGAAAAGCACGGAACACTTGCCGACGCCGAAGACAACAGGCTACAGCTGCTCACATACTTGGTCAAGCACGCACGGATACGGGGGCTAATCTTGGAGCTGCGGAATAAATCAATTCACTCACGCGACGATACCGCAGACCGATCTAGTTACGTCCAAGCAGAGCTCGCAAAATGGTCAAACGAGATCCACGACGCGGTCGAAGACGAACATACCCAGGATGAAGCCTCGCCACAACCGCCAATCTCTGCGGGTCATCGTATTTTCTTGCTTCTGCTAAAGTACGAGTCCATGATCTCTCTCAATCGCCCGATGATGACGTCCGACCCGTCGAGCCCGGCGTACTCTGCTGGTCTACAAAACTGCATCTTTGCTGCCAAGTCCATATTCATTGCTTTGAAGAGGCATCATAGTCAGAGTAAGATTCCTGGCGATCCTACGAGCGCGTGTTTGCTTGAACCGTTGCTTCAGCCGTCATTTACATGGGCTGTATGGATCAGCGCATTCATTCTGATCTACGCTGGTTTTGAACGGCAATTGCCTTTGGCCAGTGCGCTAAAGTAAGCATACCACTCAACTTCCTCACTATGAAGGCAATCTTGAGGGCTAAGTAAACTGACTTTTGCAGACACGTTGAATCAGGCAAAGAAATTCTGCGCCACATTGCCTCTCGCGACACATCATGGCCCGAATACTGCCTCTCCGCAGTCGACGAGCTCACCGCAGCCGTAAGAGAACTATCCGTTCCAAACAACCCTCTTAGACGACAACCAAGCACCAGCAACCTTGCACCAAACAGCCATCTTCGAACAGACCTCGGTCAACAGGCTCGACCGAACAGCAGCTCAAGCAGACCCAGAGGCCTACGCTCCGACTCGACAAACACCCATCAGCCAACCGGATCCAGCCTCCGAGCCCGCTTCTCCCCTTCTGTCGCCGCATCCTCAGGTCGGCCAGACGAGCCGGGCCTCGTCGCGCCAGATAATACAATCTGGTCACAGAACCAAAGCGACGGACTTTCAGGACCGGCAGATGACCAGTCCGGTCGATGGCCCACGCAGGCCTCGCCGGCGTCGGGCCCGTCCGTCAACGCGGGGTGGACGGCGAGCACGCCGGGGGCGCAGTCTGGATTCCAGGCGACTGCGCAGCAGGATTCTCCCAACTTTGACAGCCAGCCGTTTTCGCTTCCGCTAAGCGCCGCTACGTCGTTTCCTGCGATGGGGACTTCGGAGAATGCGCCTGGCGAGGGGCAGGAGTCTATGGTTTGGTATGATCAGTTGTTTGCCAATTCTTTTGGGGCGATTGATTATCCATTCCTGGCGGCGGCGCAGTTTGATCCATCTGTGGATCCTACGTGGTCGTATTTGCGGTAATGCTTAATGAGGAGTACAGAGAGAAATCTGATGGAGGCTGAGGTTGCGTACATGACTACTACAGAGGAGAAGCTGGAGTATCGATACTTCTTTGATCTTTGATACCCATGTTCCTAGTAAATAGAGGCAGGCAGTTTGTCTCTGCAACTCCACATGCGAAATAGCGCCGTTTCCAATAAGTCTTGAACTTTTTGCATGCTGTTTCGGAAACCGCGTAAGGCCACTGGTTTTCAACTCCACGGGTCGCAATATGAATGTAGATTGGTAATTGGTATTATTTTAAGTGAGCCTATGGATCTTTCAAAGAGTTGGACCAAACAGAAACCAAGATCTACGTTGGGCCTACCCTTTATTGAGGATGAGATCTCCGGCCCAGCGATCTGGCTCACCACCAGTAGCTCTGGGAAAAGATACCGACAGACTGGAACTGACGATCACCGACAACCCGCCATTTCGGGTCGTGGTCCCACAGGATGCAACGCTCACGAGACAAGCGGGGCCGACTTGTTGATCAACTTGAGAAGTAGTGCATGTTGACGAATGAAGGTTGACACAAAGCATGGACATAGCCAACACAGCATATGTAGCTACGACGTCTCTCATTCTCATATGAAAATCATATATTCAATACAACCCCTCAACATGATTAGATTTGAAGCAGTGTAGTGGCGCAAGCTCTCCCCAGCGTGACCATATGCTTTCTTCCGGCTTTCAGTAGGCATACTTGGTACCGCTCGCGCCCATCTTCTTGTTCGTAGAGACCAACCAGAACCGCAATGCCCACGTACCAGCAATACAAGCAAATGCAAATGCGGCATTGCTTGACATAGCCGTGAGATACCGAGGTCCATCGCTCTTGGGGTACTGCAAGATTATCGTTAGCTCCAATCCTAGCAAAAAGTGACGCGAGGGATTTACGTACCAAGTAAGCAGTGTAAATGTACGACGCATTAGCGATAACGTTTACAATAGACAGACTGACAGCCTTCTTCTCCTGCGTAGATCCCAGCGTCGCCGAAACCCAGCCCAGGATGCACGAGTTGACAGCATACGCTCCAGACGCGAAAAGGAAGCAGGAGATGTACCGCGCCGCCGTGTTGAGAGTCGCGCACGAGATGACGAAACCGACAATGGCTATGCCCATACACGCGGTGATGTGCCAGGTACGCTCGTTGTATTTACCAGAGGAGATGCCAACGAGGTAGCCAAAGATGCCGGAGATGAGGTACGGCGGGCAGGTGAGGACGAGGGTGATGGTGTCGTTGAAGCCGAGGGAGCCGACGACGGTTGGGAAGAAGTTGTTGAAGCCGCATGCAGACTAGGATCATTGTCAGTATATGAACATTCGGTGGAGGATCAGAATTGGACTCACGAGATGCATGTTTTGGATGAAGCAGAGGAGCCAGAGACGAGGGTCGCGAATGGCTTGCATGAAGCCTGCCTTGGCACCCTTGCTCTCTTCAACGCCGACGGTATCCCTGAGCATACGATCGTGAGCGAGTTGACGCTCCTCGGGCTTCAGCCAGCGGGTCGTAAGAGGGCTGTCAGCGAGTGTAAACATGCCAATGACGGCGACGCCAAAGGTCAGGCACGCCTCGATGATGAACAGCCACTGCCATCCCTTCAACCCGTGGTTGCCGTCGATAGTGTTGAAGACGGCTGCGGCGATGAGGCCCGAGAAGGACGTGGCAAAGATGTTTCCCGAGTAAAGGATAGACAGACGGGTGGCGATTTCCTTGCGGGTGTAGAAGATGGAGAGCATGTAGATGGCGCCTGGGTAGAAGGGGGCTTCGGTCACGCCGAGGAAGAAGCGGACGATGACAAGGTGGGTGTAGTTCTTGGCGAGGGCGGTGCAGCCCGAAACGAGAGCCCATGCCATCATGCAGATTGCCATGTAGATGGATGGCCGGACGTGTTTCGAGGACATGAGCATGTTGGAGGGGATTTGCATAAGGAGGTAGCTGTAGGTCGTACCATCAGCGTTGTGTTCGGAAAGCTGGAGTTTGGAGGAGTTGAACTTACCCGACGAAGAGGATTGAGATGCAAGTGTTGTACTGTGAGCCCTGGAGACCCAAATCCTTTTCGAGACCATCCAGACGGGCCTGGGCGATTGCGTTTCTGTCGAGCTGTGCATCAAGTCAGTCTCTCGCTCGGATTTGTCGTAGCAAACACAAATTCGACGTACGTAGTTCAGAAAGTACATGCACCTAAGACATGTCAGCTATTGAGTCGAATCAACAATATGGAAGTTGAGAACCTACCAAAGTGTCGGCATGATTCTAAAGTCAAGCTTTCTGACAAGGGCAATTTCTTCTGCGCTCGTCTTCGCCACAGCACCAGAGTAATCGGCTCCCGGCTGCAACACGCCACCCTTCTCATCTTCAGTCGACATCTCGACAAAGTTGTCGTTGGGCTTAGACTCAAGGTCCAAATCTTGCTTCTTCTCGTGAGCCATTGTGGTCTTTGTCTTTGTACAGACTCAATTGAGATGACGGGAGGAATTTCGGACGATTGGTGATATGCAGCAAGTAGGAAGAGGAAGGTTGACCGCTGAGATCGCTGAGTCCGTGGGTTCCAAAGAAACGAGACTGACAGGCGTCAGATCAACTCTTATACCTTGGATATGCCTATCTTTTGCCCCAGAATATCTGTGCTCAGTCCGGGGTAACTCCACGGGGTTGTGTTTAATCATGCCATGTTTTGTCTTCTACGCCAACAGAAACCTGGCCCGGTGTCCCTTTTCCCTCATGGCTTTCCTCGCAAACAAACGAGGAAAAGTCTCCCTGGTTCCCCGGACTCATACTAGCTTACGCGGACAAAGAAACTACCGGGGCATTTGGGGTAAATCTGCGGGGGACGCGGGGAAATGGCATGGCAAGCCAGGTTCTTCACCACGTTTAGCTGGGTTACGATGAGGGGGAACTCGACGAGCTAGGGGCACATGTTCATCTGGATTGGTGTTGCTAAGGCTATTTGACGGGTCACTTTGTTGACCCATCCGGTCGGACGGGCTTGCGGGGGCGTATCGGGTCCAGAGACGTGGGACTGACTTACCCCGGATCGCTAAAATACAGACTAATGGAGGGTTGCGCATGGGGTTTCGTTGATCCTTGGGATCATATGAATTGGAATGTTCCTAGATTGAGACATGGAAATGAGTCGAGTAGGTCTAGATCCACAGGCTTTGACAAGAGGGCATATTCTACGCACAAGGTGATCTGGAAGATGAAATGGAGATAGACAATACGACGCTAGGTTATGATCGCGAGTTCATATATCAGACGACTGTAGAGATGAGATGAATCATGGCTTGTAAATGCCTTCTACGCCTTGGAGACGCCTAGGACTTTTCGATTAGAGTCTAATATAACGCGAACATGAGCCTTTCTTCTGGCATCCTGCTGTGGGAAGAACGACTCGTTGGTCAACCTCTCTAGATACAGCTCATACGCGGGCATGTACCCCTGAACAAAACGAACAACCTCCGCATCTGTCATGCCCGCACCTTTCTTCTCCCGCAACGCCCTCTCCTGGTCCAGACGCCAGTGGTAGACGTTGACTAACTGGTCTGTGCTGAGGTGAAGGAATGCGTCGAAGCGCCAGGGGCCCATGAAGCTCTCGCAGTACCTTTCCAGGTTCCGGTTGATGAGCTGAAGATGCTCGAGGCTATGGCTGGCTAGTGTCGTTGTGGATAGCTGAATGTCCTCGGAGTTTGCTGTTGATGATTCCTTGGCTCTTTTCCACTTCTCCTCAACTTCCTCGGGTGACAGTGGCTGGAAACCAAGGCACCAACCCTCGAAGATGAGAACCTCCAGAGGTGGGTTCCTCGGCACGGTGTCCCACTGTGACTCTGGGGCTCTGCCTCCCTCACCGCTGAAGAGACTTTTGTCGAATGACGGCCACTTGACGGGCTCTGAGTCTGTCTGATTTGACTGTGGCTTTGACACATCGTCGAAGAAGCGTCGCGCTAGATCTTCATCATGTGTCCCGGGTTGTCCGCGAGTCCGGAGAAGGCCATTTCCGGGATTAGAATCTCTCAATGATACCAGCTGGTCATGGTCGTGGTACAGGTCGTCTAGTGAAAGCGTTCTTGTGTTGATGCCATACTTGGCGTTGAGTGTGTTGGTAAGAGCCTCAGCCCATGTTGACTTTCCACTTCCCTGCAGGCCCGAAAGGCCAAGAATAAAGGGGGTCGCCAACTCCGCTCTATGTGACTTGATTGAGGGGAGGACTTGCTGGATAACGGCTTCCAAGGCTGTCGTGTCAATCATGGTGAGATATTGCCTTGACACTCTACCACCTGGCGACAAAAGACTTGCCAGTTGAAAAACACCTCCCAAGCCCGAAACCGAGGAGGGTGCGTGGGCTATCGTTAGAGGGATGCACGTTTTGATATGTTTTCAAATGCTTTCAAACGTGGGAGAGCTCGTAAATCACTCTGAGTAAGACTAATCGAGATTCACAGTAGCTGCGTTAAAAGGCTCATCCTGTGTTGCGTGGGAGGCAACTAGGAAATAACTCAATACCGTCAAATGATAGTCCTGCGGACTTGTCTTTGTCCGCTGGCGAAGACACATCCGCGGACAAAGTCAATACCGCTCCCCGGACCCCAGATCACCTCCACCACGAACCCCAACTCCACAAACTCCCGACACTTGCGGCGCATTCCCGGAGATGGTGGGCGATGAAGACGGTGATCTAGCCGTTGTCGGCGGGAGTCTGACGGTTACAAAAGAAGACAACTTCACTGCGCTCTGACATACCCTGCAGCACAGCCATCACCACCAACCTCAAGATTTATCTCATCTTGTAATCAAGGGAAAGAAACGAACCGTAATTACCCCTCGACTCTAACCCCTCATATCATAGTATCACCACACACATCCACCCACCTTAACCCCCTCCCATTCGTTCAAGATGTCGCCCAGTGCGCTCCCCGCCCAAAAGTCTTACAGCATCGCCTCCATGGGGGCTGATGGCATCGGCCCGGAGGTCATCGAGGCCGGTGTGGAAGTTCTCAAGGCTCTTTCCGAGACTCTTGGCACATTCGACCTTAACTTCACCGACTACGACTGGAGCTCCGAGACTTACAAGAAGACCGGAAAGTATATCCCGGACGGCGGCCTTGAGCAGCTCAAGAAGCACGACGCCATCCTCTTCGGCGCCGTCGGTGCCCCCGGTATGTTATCTCCGCAAGTCAAGACTCAACCCGTGCACACCACTAACCGGCGCAGATGTCCCCGACCATATCTCCCTCTGGGGTCTCCGTTTGGCAATCTGCCAGCCCTTCCAGCAGTACGCCAACGTTCGCCCCACCCGTGTCCTCCGCGGTACCCAGTCTCCCCTCCGCAACTGCGCCGAGGGCGATCTGGACTGGGTCATCATCCGTGAGAACAGCGAGGGCGAGTACGCCGGCCAGGGTGGTCGCTCGCACCGCGGCTTCCCCTGGGAGACTGCCACCGAGGTCTCAATCTTCACCCGCCACGGTGTTGAACGTCTGATCCGCTTTGCTTTCGAGACGGCCCGTAGCCGTCCCCGCAAGCTTCTCACTTTTGTCACTAAGAGTAATGCCCAGCGTAACGGCATGGTTCTCTGGGATGAGGTTGTCTATGAGGTTGCCAAGGACTTCCCCGATGTCTCTCTTGACAAAATGCTCGTTGACGCCATGACGACAAGAATGGTCCTTAACCCTAAGAGCTTGGACACCATTGTGGCCACCAACCTGGTAAGTACATGCTTGTCAACTTAGTTTATGTATGATTAGGGGACTAACGAAGGCTCCAGCACGCCGATATTCTCTCCGACCTCGCTGCTGCCCTCGCTGGCTCCATCGGTATCGCTCCTACCAGCAACCTGGACCCCAGCCGCAAGAACCCCTCCATGTTCGAGCCCATCCACGGCTCCGCCTTTGACATTACCGGCAAGGGTGTCGCCAACCCCGTTGCGACCTTCTGGACCGCTGCCGAGATGCTGGAGTGGCTCGGTGAGAAGGAGGCCGCGACGCAACTCATGGAATGCGTCGAGAACGTCACCGGCAACGGTATTGTCACTGCCGATCTCGGTGGCAAGGCGACGACGAAAGAGGTCACCGCTGCCGTTGTGGCTGAGATCAAGGCCAAGCTTGGCAAGAGCAAGCAATAGAGGGTCACTTTGATAGAAGAGATATGGTGGAAGATCTATGATTGCGCAAGAGGAGGACCTGAGCTTACACGATAGGAAGCAACGAGGAAATAGTATACCAGCATACATGTACATTTACACACCCGGTGCGCTTACACGGCCGAAGACGATCTTGTCAAATCGCTTTATGAGCTAAGGTACCTTATCTTTCAGACCATCATGACCGTTCTTATCAAACTCCAATGTGAAGTGAGTCGCACTTGGAATGTCACTCTCCTTCATGATTGATAGTCAAACTCAACAGTCTACATGGTGATCTTGAGCTCGCTCAACGATCGAGCAGTTCCTAATATCACCCTAATTTCTTTAGAATAACAGATTGATCGTGATACCCCCTTACCTCCTTCTGAAATTGTCAGCATCATCTTCAAACCAAATTTTGAAGTCGATATGAGTTCCTACATGAGTGCTTGATGAATAATAACACACTGAGTAGAACAGCCAATGCAAGCACCTTAGGCAAGTATGGTACGGATAGAGAATCTTGAAGTCCATTATGAGCATCTCGATGAAAACCTCAATAATTAGCCCGTCCTTCTCAAGCCACTTACGTCAATGAATTTGTTTCCAAAAATTGCAGTGGCATGATGCCGCTTAACCTCCAGATGAGTACGTAGGAAAGGTCTAGAACGTTTCGCATCGCCAAGTCCATGAGATGCGCGTGCTATTCCTGTACAATACGTGACTATGTTCTAGAATTTTTGTGACAAGCTAGTCTTCTTCCTTTGAAGCAACAGGAGGTTACATTCCGTTTGCAAACCGACTCGCTCCGATTCAGCCAAGCCCCTGGCCCCCCGACATGAAACGGTTCTTAGTCGGGGCGGCCGATGAATTTGTCTCTCATCTTGAATTTTCGATCTTGACTCTCACGAATTATCCCATGCCTGTTGAATTGACCAGGTACGCTTGAGACGTGCACGTAATATTGTCTAGAACACGTGCTAAATGAGCGTCGCCTGCTCCGTGCTGTGGGGGGCTATGTCAACCGACGAACCCATCACGAGATGAACGAAAGAACCATATTCTTACCCACTTCACATGTGAAAGACGACAAGGGCGTTCGCCCCATCAACGATCTTAATTTTGTCCTATCCTCCTCTACGATTCGCAGTAGCTGCCCGATCCGAGTCAAGTCTGTTCTCACCAATCCCCAATAGCTTAGCGTACAGGCCGTGCTAGCTGCACTGCTGCACCTCTCAGCCTTGACGATGTAACGACGGACCCAGCGCGCCGGGCGCTCTGACAGTGATGTTTCCATGAATCGCGTGGCAGGGGAAATGGGGATCTGACACAGCCCGCTTGTTCTACCGTCGATCTAGAAAGAAAGATAGAAGACGGGAATAATAAAAGGCACTAGGACGGCAAGGGACGGAGGTACGGCGAGGGCACGGAGGTACGGCGAGGGCACGGTTGATGGCCCCAGTGCTACGTCTTTTTTTGCGTCGAGAACTCTCGCTCCGATGTTTCCGTGGAACGTGTTTGGAATCTTTCTCGATCCATCTGTGAGCACTGAGGAAAGGTCAGGAGGCTCGGAAGTCGCATCTACTGCGTCATCCGCCGACCAAGCGGAGCGGGGCGTCTGATACTACAGAATGCGTACAACGTCGCGATCCGGCGGGCCGTCATGTGCAGGTAGGCAAGGTAAAGTGAAGTAACGTATGTATGCACTTTACATATAGGCATGTGGTGAAAGGGTAGGTAGGACTGATCTCACGTCCCACATCTCACATCTCACGATGTGGGATCAACGGACCCGGAGCCCCGGAGGGAGGGCAATCTGCATCTTGCAGCGAGCGATGTTACTCGGCCTCGAAAGCGACGGGAGCTTCACATATGACATGGATAGTCTGACAGGACTGACTCTTTGACAGGTCATAGGCGCCGGCGGCTAAAGAAGACGGACGGGTGATGGGCACACGCGAGGTGGCGCAAGTCAACTATCAAGCGACGGATAGGTTGTGTGCCCGGTCTTCAACCCAGGTAATCCATAGCATTCCCAGCACAAGACACATCAGAATCAGGATCTCCGCGAAGAGGATGCCCGTCAGCCACGAGCGGGCGCCCGTAAGGCGAGCCATAGCCAATGACCCTAAGGTTAAAACTGCCCGAGGGACCTCTTAAATGGAGTCATAGGAGGCCGCGGGAAATCCCATTGACGGCGTTGATCAACGCATCCTTGAATACGTTTGGTGCCTAGGCACTCTGGACCGGCGATGGGCGATTTATGATGTGGTAGCTCATAAACATGGGAAAGGAGGGGAGGGAATGGGCTGCTGCGTTTGGATGGCAGGAGAGTCATGTTGCTTCTCCTGTATCATGAAGACATCAATCCCTAGTTAAGATCAAAAAAGAGGGGGGATGAGTGGGTGGATGGATGGACAGTAGCAGAGAAAGTCGCTGCGTGTCAAATGAATACCGGCTAGTTTGCCCTCATCCCGTGGTCCGACACGCCTAATCGTGCGAATAGACGCTTTAGGTTGAGGGAAAGGTAGACCTGGGCAGACCGGGCACTCGGATACAGTTCCATGTTACCTGTCCGAAATTCTGTCCGGCGGTTCCAGCACCAACAACGCTTCTTCACAAACCTTTTGATTCGGCCGTCAAGTTGCAAAGGCCGAAGCGTAGCTCTGAGCTGCGTTAGTCTCGACTCCTCACAGTTCTGGATGGGCCCGGAACGTGGGAATGATGGAGACAAGCCAGAGGGTCTAGATGCCAGATGAGTTCCGGGCTCATGGGATATCCATCGACTTCTAAACGACCCAGACAAAAAGCCCCTATATATCCTTCAAAGGTCAGACCAGGGTAGAACCTTGATGTAAGCCATGGCATGCCTGCATTGAATAATAGGAAACATGGGAGAGTCTCGCGAAATGGGGAAATGCAGAATTGGGGGCAAGAAACTGGATAACTGGACGTTTGGGGGAGCTTTCCTTGCGCTTTGATCCTGTGCCTCTGCTGCAAGTTGCAGAATAAGGGAGGACTTGGACCAGCTTTCTGGGATGAAGCTCTGCATTGGCAAAGGAAAAAGGTCGGGTGGGCCTGAATGCAACTTGTGCCCTTCCCCCCTCTAATGCCACAGCTCCCTCCCTTTCCTACAATACCTCAGCTGAATATGCCCTTGATCAGTTGAACACAGCGTGCATGCGCTTCTCTGCCGTGCTTCTTCTGTGCTTCTGCTGCCACGCCTTTGTCTCTCCCTCTCTCTCTCTCTCTCTCTATGCCTTCATGGTCTCTACTAACGCGTCCCATGTGCTCTGATGTCCGGACTTGACTCCGCACTAGCGTTTGACGCTAGAACTGAACACAACCGAGCGGACAACGGTTCTGGCTCGAGTCAAGAGCATGGGAACCCCGGGGGCGCCGGCTGTTCCCCAATTTCTTAGTCACAAGTACGTTAGTAGGTCCTTTTGCTCTCACCAAGGGGCGCCGAAAGTCGATCACAGAAGCTGCAAAGTGGGCGGCGTGGGAGGGAGAGCCGACGCCAGGGTCGGCCCCTGTGTCGGGAGCTAATCGACGTGTTCCGCAACGGAGTCCGTCGCCGATCGTGGAGAGCCAAATCCTCCGAAAGTTCATGTTCCGACTGGAGTCTGGCTAGATCCCGGGAAACATACTTCATGTCTCACAGAACTGAGAGGTCTTGGCCCTGGCGAGTTCTGGCCAAGGGGGGCTTGGGGGCCACGGCGCCAAGTATCGTGTCTTGTCTTGTCAGCTCGACACCACTCCTATCCCCTTTCATTCGGTGATTTATTTTGCCTTTCCCAACCCACAACCCACAAAGGGGGGTGGGTGGGATGGAGGCGGTAGACGCGGGCAAAGAGAGTCCAGAGCATTGGCGTTGCTGATTGAGGTGAAGCTCTGGGTTAATGCCGGCCAAAGTTTGCAATGGAGGGAGGATACCAAACACTTGAAGCCAACACCACATTGTGACCGGTGCCAACCACGCGACTAGGACGGCTTCCCAGGACCAAGGAAGCTCCGCCAGTCCGTCAAAGGAGAATCCGAGGACAACGGTCCTGCTATTGCTCCTGCAGCAAGTGCTGCTACAGATGCTACAGCTTTCTTGGCAGCCCGCCGCTGACCGCTGCTGCTCGGAGCCCGAAAAGGAACATCCTCTAGAATGGCTCAGATACCACCTGGGCACGTTTACGAAACCAGGGACCGGCCGGTCAGGCATCCGTCTGATGTCGCGATGCATTTCATGCTGCCCTCATGATTCGTGTTGCGACGGTGGGCGAACGTGCACCTGGGATCCGCGCCACCACACACACCTCTCTCTCTGCTTGGCCAGTGAACACCTTTCCATATGAAGTAGTTGACCGCCGCTTCGTGTGGTTGGTAAGAGGGAGGGAGAGGTAAGGCGAGAGAGCTCTGGTTTCTGCTTGTCACTCAGATCAAGCTTGTCGAAAGTTACTGTTATTGCTGTCGCTGCTGCTTTTCCGGCGCGCGCGCAAACGAGCTCCTCTTTCAGTCGTTCTTTTCTCTTACTTTCCCTTCCCTTCTCCCGATCCTCCGTTTACTTACGAAGCCTTACTCTTTGAAAGAGACATTGAGTAGAGCTGCCTCAATGCAGTCAGGAAGCAACGAGCCAGCCGCTGCGGCGGCGGCTGCTGCTGATATCACCAGCGACAACGAAGGCGCGCAAATAACATCGTCAAAGGCAAGCTTCGAAGACGCGCCGCAAGAACAGCCACCCAGCACCTCGAACTCGGGCAAAAGCCATCCGTCCGAAGACAGAGCTCCAAGCGAGGACGCCGGAAGAGACAACGGCAGCAAACCAGCTTCACAAAAGGTTCCGAGCAGACAACCATCCGTCGAGGGAACCCGGGCAGCAGTCGTCGCAGGATCATCATCGCAACAGGGAAGCCGAGCCGGATCCCAGCAGGGCAGCAGGAGGGGTTCCAACGAAGCGGCCGTGGCCGGCGGCGGCGGTACAGCCGACGCCCCGACCGCTGCGTCGGACGCGGCGATCGCCAGGGAGCGCGCGCCCGGCGACGAGAACCGTGAGGCATTCCGCGACTCCACGATCACGGCCGTCAGCGAGAGCACGGCGCAGATGCTCGGTCGAGACGGCGTGCCAAAGACCACGACTGATCCGGCGGCGGCAGGAGTCCTTGCGGGAACGGGCGAGACCCCCGGCGACGACGACGAGCTCGAGCCCCTGACAAAGTACGTCGACTGGACGGAACACATCTCCATCTCCATCGGCCCGTTTGTCATTCTCTTCTTCGATCTCGCGCTGCCGGTCTGCATCTACTACAGTTGGCTTCGCGCCCGACGAAACGATCGTCGCGCCGCGTGTCAGTCTGCCTACGACGCGGGCGTGGAATGCGGACTCCCTCCCGTCCAGACGGTTGAGAGTAGAATTCTCGGTTTTGCCATTATTGCTTTCGGTTTCGGAGAAGTGTACATCCTCATTGTGCGAGTATATCGACTCATCGCCCGCTTCGACGAGTGCGCGCCGCTGCTGTCCAAGCACTGGTGGGAGCTGGACGCCACGACCTGGGTTTACGCGCTCGGTCTGATTGCCGCCTTGGTCCCCTTTGTCTGCTCAACCACAGTTTACGAGCCGGACGTTGTCGAGTGGCTGTACCTGTACTCTCCCGCCTTCATGTTCATGGTCCTGGACGTCATTGCCTTTGCGACGTTGATCCCGATCAAGATCCCGTTCCGTATCAACTCGGACCCCAAAGGCACACGTCTCAAGCCCATCGTCTACTATGCCGCCGAAGACTTCTTCGCCGTCGACGGAGCGCAGAACAGGGAGTTCCGCAAAAGATATGTCGAGCGGTACGACAAGTCGATGATGTTCCGCAAGATGATTCTTGAGTTGACGCTCTTCTGGATCGGCGGCTGCACGGCGTACATTGGCTACGTGGCCGGCATCATTTGGAACCTGGAGTTTGAACGCGCGTTTGGCACGACGTTGGGCGTCTTGTTTGGATGGATTATAATCTGGGGTGTCACTGCGAGATTTTGGATCGAGTACGCGATCAAACGCGAGCAAAAGTGGTGGAAAGAGAACAAGGCCGAAAGAAACGCGGCCAAGCTTCAATGATCCTAGTGTTTAATCACAGTTGAGCCCTCCCTGGTGAGAGAGAGAGAGAGAGAGAGAGAGAGAGGAGACAGACGGGAGAGAAGCAGTCAGATGGTGGCGAAGAGATAGGGGAAAGGGAGTGGCTCATTACTGTAACCTAGTGTTAATAATGGCACTGCCAAGATCATGTACTTATGGAGGACGCATGGGTTCTGACTGACAAGACAAGGCACGAGAGCCTGGATACCCAGGAAAAGAAAGATACCGAGAGGGCGGATTTTTGCGATTAATAAGTAAATCATTTCTTGCTTCTAGACATTGCTCAGTGGTCTCATCAGTTTTATAAGGGTATGATCTGATTAGATCTCAGCATGGAAGTACACGATAAGTGATCTGAATAGAATCAACTCAACGTCTACCGGCACGAGGTGGCATCCATCCACCAACGGCGCTCATATCAACTACAAAGTGAGCGAAATGGCAAAGTTAACAGGTCTCCCAACTCGAGACAGCGAAGGGCAGCCTTCCTGGAAAGCCAAGCCTGGCCCAGGCTCCCAAGTTCGTGGCAGCATGGGCCGCAAGACGCACAGCGGAAGAGAGTTTTGGGACCCGGGGGCGAGTAGCTTCTGTGGATGTGTGAGAGAAAGATGGTGTGGTGTCTCGTGGGATGTCGCGATGTGATCGAGGCAGCTCGAGGCCCGCGGGACGGCGGTCGGGTCCCCCATTTCTGATTTTCTGGGGGAAGCTCTGGACTCCCGTTCGAATGAGGCGAAGAAGAACCAAGGAGGAAACCATCTCGCAACCGTTCGCAGGTACGTACTGGAGTTGTGAATGTTTCGTGGTGGCGTTGCACAAAATGGAGTTGTGCATTTTATGTAACTCCTCTGCAGCGCGCCTACGTTTCCCATCATGAAAAATCCATGTTTCTAAACGTGTCATTCATCTGTGTTGGTATTGGGGATGAACATGCTTATGCGCTCCGCGATATAATGCCGCTAGATGATGACAGCGGGTAGAGTCATAAAAACATTTATGCGCCTCACCGCAGCATCTGCTCACTCATGATAAGCGTTTATAGAGATCCTGCCTCATCAAGAGGCATTTTTTACAACACAGCCCAACATGTCCAATAGATGAAAATCCGAAGCGGCAAAAGAGGCAATCGGACGAGAAATTCGATTCACGAAATGAAGTTGGATTGGTGTTTGGGATTCGAAGTCGTCTCGAGTCTCGCTTCATTCTCATCTTTACTCAAAAGAGGGGTCTCACTCAGCTGCTCTTTCAGCCGCATCGGATGGAACTCCCCGATTCAATCTTCATCATCCAAAAGCCTCATACACTCTCCATTGAACAGCTCACACAAACTTCAGACAAATTCGCCCCAATTGACAACTTCACACAATGAAAAAGGTTGACCCGTGTGAAAATCTGCTCATCTCACAAGAGTCACCCATCAAACATGGTAATTTACTCACGGCAATCCCACCGCCAATCGCCCCCCCACTGCCTCCCGCCAAACAGCTCAACAAGTCTCCCGCGACGAGACCGAACTCGGCGGTGCGTACAATTCCCGATTGTACCCGGGGGTCCAGTCCGGATTCCCTCCCGCCCAATCCCACTAATCGGGTCTGAGCCTGGCGGGTTTTGAGAAATCTCTGCGAACTATGTAATTAGTCTGCGAGGTCTACCAATTGAAGCAAGAAGACGGCGCAAATGAGGGGCACGAGGTGACGGCTTCATCGCTGACCTTACCTTTCTACTGGGACCTAGTGTCGCTCAGCTTCTAGACGACGAATGCGACGTGCGTGGGGGGCTCTTACGAGGTTTTACAAGATCGCCTGCGAGTTTATTTCACTCATAGTCTCAGAGCTCACTCATAGTTCGTAGACAATTTCACAATGCTTGCCTTACAACTTGCAGAAGGGGGTCTAACCTATGCGGAACAAACCGCTCATCTATCGCCAAGATGATTTGCTCATGAGATCTTTTGTTTTTCACTCACTTTTAGACTCATCTCACACACACACCCTCCATTCCAGCCCAGTTCCCAAGAAGACTAAATTCTAAAATCATCGTTAGCCTTTTCCCTGCCGTTTTAATCCGCGCATCGGCTACGCCCTACCCTCCAATGACACCGCCCTAAAGACTAAAGACGACCGACGAGAGAGTTCAGCTCACTCATCCCCCCTGTCAACTCGAGACTCAACTCACTTCCTCTCCTCCAAAAGTAAACCTTTACCATCCCTCTGAAACTCGTCTCATCGCCCCCAGCATCGGGGCAAGGTGAACCCCCGCTCGTCCGCTACCGCACCGTCCGGCGTCCCAGGTGATAAGATCCCGCAAAATGAACCCCGAAAAGGAACTCCTTCCCGCCACCAGCGCCGGCCCCGCGCCGGTGTCCCAAACGCCCGGTCCCGATCCCGACGTCGAAGCCTCCCATTCCGCTCCCGGTGCCGGCCCCGATGAATCTCACCACCGTGCCGGCAACGACGACGCCCTCGCCATGGTCGGGATACACAGCCAACCCTACGACCCCTCCGTCGCCGCCCGCGCCGTACGGAAGATTGACTGGTTCCTCATACCCGCCATGATTTTTGGATGTTCGTCACACTCTCACTCTCTTTGAGTTTCTTCAAGTCTTCCCTCATCCTCTCACATGTGCTCACCACCTTCATCATCCTCGATCCATCCCTAACGCGCAACAGACGGCCTAGTCTACTACGACAAAGCAATCCTAGGCTCAGCAGTCCTCTTCGGCATGACAACAGACCTCCACCTCTCCGTGCCCCTCCCCACCGGAACAGGCGTCGACACGTCCCGCCTCTCCTGGGCAACCTCCCTCTTCTACTTCGGCATGCTAGCAGGCCTCTACCCAATGACCTACGCCCTCCAACGCTACTCCCCAGGCCGCACCCTCGGCACAATCGTAATCCTCTGGTCCGGCATCTGCATGCTCACCGCCGCAGTGACCTCTCACCAAGGTCTCTACGCCCAACGCTTCTTCCTCGGCTTCGTCGAATCCGTCATCCCCACGGGCTTCATGTGCATCGTCTCGGGGAACTACACCCAGGCGGAACAATCACTCCGCCAGAGCTGGTGGTTCAGCGCCACGGGCCTCTTCACCATCATCGGCGGCGCCCTCAACTACGCCTTCGCCCAGGTCCGCGGAGGCGACCTCAAACCGTGGCAGTACATCTACCTCCTCGCGGGATGCCTCACGTTCCTCTTCGGCCTAGCCTGCTTCCTCCTCCCCGACTCCCCCGTCTCGGCATGGTTCCTCACCCGCGAAGAGCGCTTCGCGGCAGTAGAACGCCTCCGCCACGGCCAAACCGGTGTCCGCTGCACGAAGTTCAAACCGCACCAACTCCGCGAAGCCCTCCTCGACGCCAAAACCTGGCTCGTGGCGCTGATGATGGCCTCCGCCTACACGATGAACGGCGCCGTCTCCGGCTTCGGCCCGCTCATCGTCTCGACGTTCGGCTACACCTCGCTGCAATCGATCCTCTTCCAGTTCCCCCTCGGCGGCCTCTGCTTCCTCGTCATCCTCGCGACGGGGTACCTCGGCACGCGCTACACCAACGTCCGCGTCATCATGCTCGTGACGTGCTGTCTGCCCGTGATAGCAGGCTGCGCGCTCATCTGGCGCTCTGACTGGACGCACCACGCCGCCGCGCCGGTGGTGGGCTACTCCATCACGGGCTTCTTCGGCGGGGTGGTTAGCCTCGTCATCACGCTCGGCATGTCCAACGTCGCAGGCCACACCAAGAAAAGCTTCATGGCGGGGACCATCTTCGCCGCCTATTGCGTAGGCAACATTGTCGGCCCGCAACTCGTAAAGTCGCAGAGTAAGGCATCGCACTACCCGGAGCTGTGGCTCGGGCTCATCATCTGCTATGTGATTTGCATCCTGGCGTCCGGGGCGTTGTACTACGTGCTCTGGAAGGAAAACCAGCGACGCGATGCGTTGCCTGTGGATGAGGAGGAGCGAGCCAAGCTTGCTTTTCAGGATTTGACGGACAAGGAGAACCCCTATTTCCGCTACGTGTATTAGCAAGACAATACTTTGTCTTGCGTGTTTCGAGAGAGACCATAAAGCACTCATTTGCATTGTGATCGGGTTGAGACTTACTCGTTCGAGAAGTAGAAACACCGGCTGCGGAGAACCAAGCTCACAGCCTAATGCTAATGTGGTATCAAATCACGAAATAATCAAATGTCTGCAAGAGTGCTTCGAATGTCTTCCCGATCGATCCATACATCGGGGTATCATGAATTATGCAACATGAACAGCACGTCCCTTCATGAGGATGCCCATCTAGCTAGAAATACAACCATGATAAACCATGCGCCAGAGCCGGAGCCTTCCGTCCCATTGCTTTTTGGCCGCGGTATGCCCCGTTTCCGTTCGTCATGATAGTTGGCCCAAAATGATGGTGGGCAGAGAAGTAAATACGATCAAATCCCCAGTCATGCTGTCAGAGCATGAAGGCCGGTTGCGCCGAACCATCCAAAACGCCATTCTCTATGCATGTGTCTTGTCCGAAAAAAAAATAAAACGCCGGAAAACCTGTCCATGAAAATCATTACTCCGTATCCCCTTTATATCTGCCCACAGCGAATTCCGCTTTCTTCGTTTTGGTGTAAATTGCAGACGCTCGCTCATCTGGGCGACCTTGGAGGGTTGCTTGGTAGCTCTGCCGGCATATTTTCGTCGCCACGCCCGTCGTTCAACTCTACAGGCGAGTGTATGGTGCCGGGTACTGGTGCTGGAGGAGGCGGTGGTTGCTGAGGCGGGTATCCGGGTCCTACAGTTGCGCTTCCCGGTGGTGGTGTTGGGTAAACACCTGGTAGATCCGCCTTGCTGGGCTGCATTGGTTGGACCATGGGGAACTGAGGAGACCCCATCATGCTGCCAGACTGGCCCGTGTGCTGAGGTCCAATGGGCACCTGCTGCTGGTACATGCCGTAGTTCTGGGCCGGCCAGACACCGCCTTCGGGGGGCGGTTGTTGCTGAGGTGGCTGCGGAGGCCAATTGCTGCCGGGAAAGTACGCCGGTTGGAAGCCATGGGGTGGCACAGAGTTCGGCGGAGACGGGTTCGTTTGCGAGTGCGGTGATTGTGCGTACGGCTGGCCGTAGTAGGCGTATGCGTGGGGATGTTGAGGAGGCGGGTACTGGTTGTTCCAGTGAATGTAGGTCGGAACGGCGGAAGTCATTTGCGGAGAAGCGACCATCTTGTCCCCTTCGGCCTGGATAGTCTTTTGCGAGTCGGTGGTGCTAGGTGCCTTTTCCAACTTTGCTTTACGTAACGCATGAAGAGCGCGGCCTGTCATAATCAGTCAATGGTCCTTGTCCCTCAAGGCTCTCTACCATGTCAGTAGTTAGGAGATCAAAACGTACCAAAGACACTAATGGTGATAACGAAGAGCACAAGGTTGACGACAGAAGTAGCTGTGCCGGCAAACGTAGCAGCTACGAAGCCATCGGCAAACGGCTCTACGTTCATCTTATAATATACTTCGTACTTGGGACCGAACGTCACGATGAAGGCATCGAGGGAATCAAGATCATCTGCGTGACTAGCAAGCAGGGCCATAGTAATCAACCAGAAGACGACAGTGAGTAGCTCGAGGCCGCTGCGCACAATGTTAGTAGGGGCGCTTCTCCCAGTTTGCGGGGGGGTTCCTTACAGATGCACCCAGCAGTTGTACATGACGGGAATAAACATGACGGCTACGCCAAGCCATGTCAAATAGGAGAAGGTCCAGGCGAAAGCAAACCATGAAAATGCTATGCGCAACATTAGTATTGGCACACAAGAGTAGGTAGAGGCGGGGATGGTGGTGCTACGTACGGAAACCCTCTGTACCGCTAAAGGACTGCATCGTAAAACGCAAACAGTCAGTAAAAGTGAACCAGAAGGGCGGGATCCAAGCAGAGGCCAGATCAGAGGCCAAGAGATTCTCGAACATACCGTTATCCTGCGATAGCCCGTGGCTTTCTGCATAGTGGTGAGTCCAAAGACTGTTATTCCCAACGTCGCAATGGCGAGGACCTAAGATTTCAAAACCGTCAACGTGATGTTCGTCCAAGTCATTTCGCGTACTCCGGTTTCCCTTTAATGTAGTTGGGGCTAGGAGTAGTGCCCTTACAAGCTGTGCAATCCTGACGCCTGCGATCCAAACCGGCATGGCCGGAACATGAGAGCGGTTCCTCCCATCGTTGGGCCAAATGTTCTTGGTCAAAAAAGACATGGGCGAGAATGCGAGGGGTTTAGACCCCTTGGGTTCAGGTTCGGGAGACTGGGTCCTCGTCGGCTGACCCGGTGCCTCACGAGGAGACGGGGCGTTGTCGGGCCGTCGTGATGGCGGATCGGAGGCAACAGTCTGGAGGTTGGTGAGCGGAATCGAATTGGGGTCGACCGGATCCTCGGTCGCGACGTCGTCCCTCGACGGGGAGGGGTCGCGGGGTGGTGGCGACGACGTCGTGGTGGTGAGATGGGGAGAGCGGTCGTTGTTTGTGGCTAGACTCGAACCAAGGTTGTCGTCGTTTTCGTCGCGAACAGTATGATTTTCGGAATGGGTCGATATTGGGGGCGGCGCAAGTGGTGGTGTATGAGGACCTATGTTGGGCGCGTGGAAGTATGTTTTCGCTGAAAGAAGGTTGGAGCCTGTCGGTCTCGAGGTTTTGTAGTTGGCAGCAACAGTTGCCAGAGGTCGTGAAGTTGTCGAGAGGGAAAAGGTAGGTTTGAGCTGGCGGTAAGGTGAAGCTGGCGGTGGGTGTTGGTGGTGGTGGTGGTATTGAAGGTGCTCGGTGAGGTGCTGCTTGCTGGGTACCTAGTAGCGGTGGTGTTTCTTTCGCCAATCGACGTCACAAAGGGTGGAATGGCGGAGGCTAAGGGCTGAGCGCACTGAGCAAATGTTTTTTTTCGTTCGTTCGTTCCGTTCCTCCAATGCAACAGTAACGTCTTTTTGGGACGGTCAACTGCTCGGGGGGTGTGGATGGAGGGGAGGGGAGCCTGGTACACACTGCGTACTCCGTAGAACTAGTGTACCTAGACGGTAGGAGGGGGAGGGGGGTCCCGGTCCGATCAGAGGGAATTTGGCTGGTTCGCTAGCTGGCTGGCAGGCTGGGGGACCTTGGTGCTTGGGAATCTCTGGCGTCCACTACTGTTCGGGTAGGTGTGTTTGTGTGTGAGAGAGATAGAGAGAGAGTGTGAGTGAAGAGCTGATTGTTGGTCGCTGGAGCTTGAAAGAAGGTTGGCACCGGTGGTCGGGGGCGCTGTGGCTTTTCGTCTGTTCAGGATCTGCCTTTCCTGTCTGTGTCTAGACACTTTGATGTTGACGGGTGGTGAGATGAGTTGAGTTTGCAAGGGCCCGTTCTTTGGGACGAGAGTTGACGTCTGGTCGTCTGCGAGTGGTTTGCTGCTGGTCTAGGACTCTACCACAGTAAGGTAGTGCCGGGTGGTGGGAGGGAGCGGAGAGTATCGGCAGGTTTCCTGTCAATCCTGTGTCCCAGTACGGAGTACTACTGTGTTCCTCTTGTTGATCTGATCTGGGAAAAGGCCGGCAAATGAATGGGTGTGTGGGCAGATGGAATGGGGATGGGGGATGGGGATGATGATGGATGTGATGGGGAAGTGGTCAATGGGTAATAGGAAATTGGGAGCACGGCTTGGGATTGGAGGGCGAAGGAAGATGGATGGATCATGGACCAAGAACCAGGACCTTGCCGTCAAGGATTCGAGATACACTATCCGTACATGCTGTGGTAGTATACGTACAAGTACTCCGTAGTAAGGTTGGTAGAGGTTAGGATGGAGGCAGATGCGAAGAGGAACAGACAGGAACGAAGCTAATCCATCTTGAGGTACTGAATAGGCACATGGATGGATAGACATGGTACTGAGCGCAGTAGGTAGGCAAAGGCGCCGAGGAAAAAACCTGATCTGAAGAGAAAAACGGCTGCGGCTCGCTATGCTTTGGGCGAATGGACGGATTGGAGGTGGCCAGGCTTTGCTTGTTTGTTCCGTCACCAGCTTAGGTACTGAAGCGTGTCTCCGTACCGTACCTTCTGTGCAGTACATAAAAGATGAAACGGAACACCGCTGCCGGCCGTCAACAGACGGAGAGATAGGCTCACTGTCTTTCGAGTATCCGTATTGGGTTGTGCTGGGCATGGCATCCAACAGCAACACAAAAAAAGTGGCCGGGGAAAGAGAAAAAAAACCTGGAGCCACAGACTTCAATGACGAGAAGTGGATGATCCAATCATCAATCGAAGATAAAAGCGGGTTCCACCAGACACAGCGCCAAGAACAAATGCCAAGCTTCCACGAGGGCCAACATGCCAAGAGGAAGGAGGGGGGAGGGGGGCCTTTCTTTTGCTGTCTCTTGCTCTTTTTTATTTCTCTCCATCTCTCTCTCTTTCCCAATATTCTTCTCTCAGGGAAATACATCGACGAGGTACCTGATCTAAGGTCAGATGCCTAAGGTAGTCAGGCACGTGCCAGGTATACTATCATGGCATGGTGTCTCGAATGGCAAGAAACGAGCAATGCAACTGCCCAAAACCAAAGACACAAAACACAATGTGGAAGGAAGCTTGGGAAGAAGTGAAGGAAGTCGGCGGGGAGGAGGAAAGGCGGCCGTTGTCATTGGACTAGCGTCACCGCATGCCCCGCAACGCCAAGCGGCTGGCTGAATTGGGACGTCATGATTCGATAGCCAAACCCGCCTCTTGTGGCAAGTATCTTTTCGGCGTGATCTGTAGCGTCAAGTACTTTGAACTTTCCATCGTTCCTGCTTTCCCGCCTTACCTCTGACTTTCGGGAAAATTCAACGAACCGCACTGAGGAGACGGCCGCCCAATCACCAGACGGACGCATCCTCGGGAGTACGTATCTTTCCGGGGCTAGGAACACCCGGCATTCGACCGTTCACTACTCCAGGTACGTACCTGGCAAGCTTCAGCCGTCTGAGCGTATGATCTTCTCTGCCGCTGTCACCGTCAATTTGCACCTTGTTTTTCCATCTTTCCGCCTCAATTCCTCAATCCTGAGCTCCGCGGTCCCCGTTAAGATACCTTACTGATACTCACCGACACAACTCAATCAGCCTCGAGCATTCAGCATGATCGATATCCGTCCCCCCGAATTCCAACAAAGCTTCCATAATCCACCTACTCAAGGGCCAAGCACTGCCCCCAACATCCGGAAGAAGCTTCAGGTCGCTCTCCATCCCGGTCTGTCATCAAATCCGCTCACCATCAAGCCCATGTCCCGCCTCTGCAGAAGCAATACCCATGGCCCATGAGGTGGATGGAGGAGGGGTGGGCCGCATCGATAGGGTCCCGGTCGTGTGCTTCCAAGACCTCTCTCCGCCCAATCATCCTCCATCTCATCCACCCAGCGCCGCCCCAAACGGCATCGCTTTCTGTCCAGGCCTCTGATCACCGCCCCAGTGTGGCAGAGCCATGCACCCGTGGCACAACCACCGACGCATCATGGATCGATGGATACGCAGTACGGACTACGGAGCACACGACGATATCGCGCCTCCAGACTTTCCATTGAAGGCATTCCCTTCTTTTCCGCCCGTTGTCAACCATGTCTCCGCTGCGAACCCCGTTGCTTCGACTTGGTTCGCCGCCACAGACTGAGAAAGTACTTGTTACGGCGTTTTTGCGGACCAACCCAAATTGCGCTCAATGTTCCTCGGGTTTATCACGCGGCGAACCTCTTCTTCCATCGTTCCCGATACGAAGTTTGTCTGGCGCAGTGTATCCGTACGGAGTTCAGAGTTCGGATACGCTTGCAGATACCTACAAATACGGTCAATTTGCCCAAGAAAGCCGCCAAGCACGAGAGCCATCGCGCATGCGCTTGGATTGCTCGCCCTCGAAGACGTCCATTCAGGCTCTTGCGGCTCCTTTAGACACCACGCCACGCCCAAACACCATGTTATTCGCACCAGCACGGATACTACCTAGTGATACCACGATAATCGATAACACCCTATCCCGTAGCACGATGCTTTCTTGCAAATCTCTCTGTGACTGTCACCTCACAAAGCGGTGGAGAGTCAGCAAGGCACATAACCTACACTAGCACACTAGATGCTGTGGGTGTGGCACCAGAGAGGCGCAAGAGGTCGGGGTGGTGTCCATCATCAGCACCTTTACTCAACGTCTTAGACATGCCTGCCAAGCGGAGAAGAAGAACGTTTTGTTGACGAGAGCCTGGCCGGCTCTGCTGCATTGCCTGCCACAGAATGATTGATATTCTTCTTTTTCTTTTGTGGCTCAAACGCCATGATTTCAGCACTTTGTCACGTACCGGCCCAGATGGCACAATTTGTTATGCCTTCAATCAAACACCAACTGACGAGCTCTTTGGGTTTGTAGCAGAGAATTGGCTACTCGTCACTCACAACTCCTGAAAGCTTGAGATTCCGTCGGTTCCGCTGCGCTGCCCACGCCTGAGGGGACCGGCAAATGTCAGCAGGTCGGTCTTTACCCGGCCGTCTATCGGAGTCTCTCACCATGGTGCGCGGTGTATATCTCTTCCCCACGACCCCTCAGGCTCTTCGTTCTCGTCATGGATCGGTGGACCCTACAATCCACAAAATCAGAGGTTGTGCCGCCGGGTCAGCGAGGATAGACAGGCCATTCGCTGGAAACCTTCCGCTCCTGTGTCGAGCCAGGCAAGGGATGGGGAGGTGCAGCGAATTGGCCATAGGCCTCAGGAAGACCATTGTCGAAAACGGAACAAAGCGCTGCAGCAGGATGCAGACGCAGGTCACAGGTTGCAGTGGTGTGCAACATTCTCGCACTGGACAGGTCTGCGACTCTCCGCCAAGGTTCAAGGTCAACCATTCCGCCAAGATCGCAAGAGAGCCACCGGATGGAAAGGAAAAGCGGGGGTTGGGCCCTCCAGGAAGCGTGCAAGATCTTCCTGCGTCTCCGCCAGAGGCCTCCGCTTCAAAGGTCACTCCTCTCTCGGGCACGCCGTCTCCTCCAAAGGCCAAGACTTCTGCCCAGCACTGTGGCACTCTCCCAACATCTCCACGTATTCCTCGAATCCTCTCTCAGACTCCGTATGGATACGTCCAGCCAGACTCTCGATTTCTGGGCGTTTGAGCCAAGCTCTGCTGCATTTGTCGCCGATGGATCCCCCCCTCTGGCCACCGTCTTGACCGTCTTGTCGTTCCGTCTCGCTGCCTCGAGAGGTTCCAGATGCTCGATTTCGGGCCCCATGCCCTCCCCTGACTCGGGCCTCCGAGTACCCCTCCACGGCTCCGGTTGACGTTCAAATGAGGCCGGCGCTGTCTGCAGTACCACAGGCACAAGGTCGCGGTTCCTCATCACAGGCACCTGCCGATCCAACGGGCTTGGGCGTGGCATTCAATGGCATCCCGACCTCGCTTGCAATGCTGCCATGATGATAGCATCGGTGCGGAACACCCAATCTCATTACCCACAACCCGTTGTCGAATTTACCGCCTCCCCAGGTGATCGGGTCGGAGCACGTCCCCTGCCACCCACAATGACGAAATGGTTCATTTCTGTCCCGTTACCAATATGAGCGAGCAGCGATCGCAAGCAGGCCAACAAGCTCACGTCTCAAGCTCCATGCGGCTGGCGAGAAAGAAGGCATTGAAAAGTTTTGGGACTATTAGTGAAACGATTCAGCAGGCAAACACCCTTCCACCGCCAATGATGTGTACTTGTATTGCAACCTTTTTGCAGCAGCGTAGAACTAAACATACCACTGCCCCGCGCGCCAAGAAATGCTACGACCAGCGCAACGACGCACAGGAATCCGGGCACCACACCGGCACTTGATCGCTTTCCACGTCCACCTCTAAATGGTATACCAACATCAGAATGAACCTTGTGTGCGCGAGCGCTGCTTGTCTTTCTGTTGCCCAGCCGCCGACCCAACCCTAATCTGATTCCTGGTTCGATGCCTTGCTCGCCAGCAATGGTGCTCGTCGTGGGAGCTGACCGGACCATGGACCAATACCCCCGAGATAGCCCGGTTCACTCGATTAAGCTTAAGGTCCAGACCAGGAACCTCAGGCGCTGGCAACGGCAGGCATTTTCCCAACCCCTCGCTTTCATCGCGGAGTTATCCCGAGCTTCCGAAGTGTTCTGCTCGTCCGTACCTGATCCCAGGTAATTGGACAAACGGATTTTGCTACTTGGTATTGTCTACCTCGTTCTCGGTTCATATACTCACCATCGTTTCACCGTAGAAGCGAAATCGGAAGCGCGGAGTTGTCTTGAACAACTTCTACGACCTCAGCTTAAGTGCTACAGCCTGAGATCCAGCGATCTCAAGGTACAGATAGGTAGGATCAGTCGTTTGACTTTTGTTGAGCATTTCCGTGAGATACTGAGCATAATTGCTGCCCGAAATTTGTCATCCTGGATGACTCCGGGAAGTCGAATCATGTGCCTTGTCCAAACACCCACCGCAAGTCTTGGCACGCACTGATATGGCCCGTCGAGCAAATCGGAATGTAATCGCTCGGAATTTTGCAGGATTAAGTCCTTTTGCAACTATCGCGCCATTTTTCTGCCAGAACACAGCGAGTTACCATGGTTCGAATATAGCTTGTTGCTATGGAGCATCAAAGCAGATACGGATGATACATCAATGTTGAGCAGTGGGTTTGACTCAATTTCTGCTCTTCACCCAGCCGTGCCTCGCAGGCTATTTGTCGCGGGATGTGGGTGAACCGAGTTAGTCCATCACACTGACCATGATATCTGGAAATTCCTTCAAGTGCCAGCCCTACAGGGCGCATTAACTCTGTTGGGCAACGGAATGCTTCCGAGATGAACGCCTCCGCTATCAGCCCCAGATGCCGTCCGCTTCACTTTAATCTTCTATCACGCCCCAATGTAAATGCTGAGATTCGGGCACAGGACTAAAGCAGATATGGGTACATGCGAACTTGTACGCATACTGGTACCTGAATCGTGCGCGTACTTGACTCACAGATCCGCATCGCGAGATTTGCCTGTATCCTCAGTGACCGTAAATGTACCTATCTCGGTGTTGAACAGATACTATTGTTTTAAAGATCTGGCATAGAGTTTGGTACTGCATGATCCGTGATGTGATTGTGACGACGGCGAATGGGGCTCTTGCGAACATCTTGGCCGATCAGCGGCGGAGATAGGCCAAAGAAGCAATGGATCAATTTGCTGTATCTTCCCTGGCTTTGGAACGATCAACTCATTCGGTGCTGCCGATTCGGACTGCACCTGCCTCAGTCTATGTCACCTGGCTCTTGGATATATCGAGTCTGAGCAAAGTTCGAGTAAGGAGCATGGCGTGCGGGTGTTCTCGGTGCCGTTCCGACTCTGGCCTCGACCTCGGGGCTTGCGATGAAGTAGAGCAACTACCGGGACGATGATGGTGCGGCTGCTGATGAGCTGGGCGGACTGGACTCCATGGTTGGTAGAAGTTTTACGGAAAGATGCATGTAAACACGATGGCATGATCCCTGAGATTGTAGAACCGGGAAGTGTAGTGAATGCTTTTTAACTAGATCTGTCGCAACTGTAACCTCGACGCTTCTAGGAGAGATATCAGAATCATTTGATGTTGTCCGCTGAGGCAAAGTATGGCACTGATGCCCGGAATTACAGGATTTCTTCTTAGACATCATGTCCTGGGTGTTCAGTACGACGAACTTGTCAGTGTTCTTCTGTCCCTGTCAGTGTCAAACTTGAACTTTTGCCATGCTCGCTTGAGTGTCTCGATGCTGTTCTCCTTCGTCGCGAACTGACGATAAGTAAGTATTGTTCGGCCTCATTTGTAGCATCGCATCTCTATTGACGGCATAGCAGATGGCGATCTTGTGTTGTTGGGATAATATTTTCATCTTGGCTATTTCCCTCGTGGCGTATTTTCCGAAATTGAACATAGAGCTTAATAAAATGCTTGATCTATCTTTAACATGTATGAACCCCTGGACGTATCCGGGCAGCAGGTAGGACAGTGGGAATGAGATATTTTAGCCTAGGGTGCAGTGACAAAGAAAGCCGCACGTAAGAGGTACGATATCGAAGTATGTTTCCAGAAGAAGGATATGTGGTAGCTAAGTCGTACTGAGACATGAAGCGAAGATGATTGAATTAAAAGGTGTACTGGCGGAATCGTAAACCCGGTCATGAAGATAATCGAAGCATAACACAATATTAAAGATGCTGGCTAAGTCCTACATTGTTCAATCTCATTTCTCCCAGCCGTGGCCAATCATTATCCGTTCAAGTCCAATATTCATATCCATGTCTCGAATACCGACCGTTGCCCTCACCCATTCCGAGTAAAGCTCAAGAAGTGTAGACGTTTACGGTGGCTTTCAATAGGTTGCTGAGGGTGGCAGTCACGCCGGTCAAACCAGACTGCGAGGCAGTGTCGATGTAAGGCGAGAGAGCAGCCCCGAGACCACCGAGATTCGTCGAGATCAGCTTGAGGTAATCGGTCTGACCAAGCGGAGCCAACGACGCGACAACGCCAGATGTCTTTGCCTTGCTCAACAGATCCGTGACCGTCTTGAGCGCAGGCTGGATTTCGTTTGTGAGCTTGTTGACGATGGCGGTCGAGTCGGTCGAGTTGAGGGCCAGGGTGAGGGCCTTTGCGTCGAGCAAGGTGGAGGAGGAGGCCGAGTTGAGGCCGATTGTGTTTAGGAGGACCGCGGGGAGCTTGAGGATGTTGGCGACGCTGAGGGTGTTGCCGGTGGTGTAGTCGAGGCCGTTGAGGGTTGTTGTCAGCTTGAGGATGGAGCCTTGGAGGGTGTCGAGGTTGGCGATGATGCTTGCGCCGGTGCTTGATTGGGAGGGGAGGTTGCCGAAGGGGAGGAAGCTGAGTGGCACTGGGGTTGCTGAGGATACCGAGAGGGCGGCGAACCCGGCGAGGAGGGAGGAGAAACGCATTGTGGTGTGTTTGTGAGGTTGATGTTATGTGAGTAAGTGAGATGGATGTTGTCCTGGGTAAGGTGAAGGGGGCACAGGCGAGAGTATCTTTATTAATGCTTGTCCAAGGCTGTTGCTGAATTGCTTGAGGGCTGGGAGTTCTCCTAGACCGAAGGAGGCCGCAACGTCTGTATTTATTCCCATCTAACCTCAGCCAACATCCTCGCCATTTGATGTCACACAACTCGTCCCTCCGCTTTTCCTCTTCTTCAGCTCAACCTCCTCCGTTGACGAAATCTGGCCCGCCCAAGACAAGTCTATCCGAGACATGTCCTCCTCGCTAAGAGAATGTCTCACCGCCGCCGCCTCTGGAAGGGTAGATCTCGACCAGAGGCAGACACCGACTAACCCGAATCTCGGGAGCCTCAAGCCACGGAGCTAAACCCGCATCGCAACAGTTCTGCGAGGAAAGAGGAAAATGATTGGCCTGCTACGCAAGAGGCGAGCAGGGAAACCAGTGACCGAACCGGTCCTCCCTTCCTGTGAGAGAGCCTGCAGCGCCGTTTCCGGGTGTGACGGGGCGGAGGGAGCGGACGCGGGCGGGCTGCTTTCGGACGGCGTCGTCAAAGAGCTATGCTTATAATGCGGGGCCCACCTGTGTTTTTCGGTTCAGCGTTAGTGTGTGACCACACTTGACTGCAGCTGACCAATGTCAGAACAGTGATGATGGGCGTGATGGTGGCTTGAGGCTTGGGATCTGGATATTAGTGGAAGTTTTTTCGTACGGGCGGAGGATGAGATGGCGGGACAGGGCAGGGGATTCAACCCAAGAGGGCGCTCAACACCAGAGGATTTTTATAGTGTTTAGTATAGAGAAGACCTGTTACGACCTAACGTGTATAACCCAGAGGCTGGCCTATTAGTGTTACGACCTAATACATATAATAAGGCTAGGGCCTGCCCCACAGAACCTACGGCGGCTACTTTACTATATATATAAAGACAAACTTAGGGTGACTCCTCTCAAGATAAAAGAATTATAGATAAATTATATAATTATAATTATATAACAAAATAAAACACAAATACTAATGAAAAAAATAAAAATAAATCTTTATATAAATTAAATAAATAACTATTAAATAAAGAGTTAAATAATTATAAATAAAAGAATTATAAGATGTATTAAAAAAGTTTATATTTAAATAAACTTTAATTGAGCTCGAAAATAGGTTTTTATAGCTTATATAATAATTAATTAAATATTAAAATTTATAATTATTTTTAATATTCTTATTAAGAACTCCTTTTATTATAACTATAGTTTATTATTACGTAGTTGTGAACTTTACAAGAGGGAAAGTTAAAAAAGTAAAAAGAAATCTAATAAAATAGTCTATTGAGACAGTAGGAGTATTTGTTAATACTATAGATTGATACTATATAATCGATATTAAGAACTCCTGAGTAGTTAATAAAGGCAGAAGATTAAAATAAATAGTTAGTTATTAAAGTTTTATCTGTTTAATAACTAATAAATATAATTTTTAAAAAGCTATTTAAAATTATAACGCTACTTATTCAATACTTATCGATTTGGTATTTATTACTATATTTATTATAACTAACTAATGAAAATACGTAAATTATTCTAATTCAAGAAATATATTCTATGAAAAACTAAATAAGTAATATAACTCTCTAAAAGTCTTGTTTATAAGAATTAAGATACTTCTGACTAAATATATATTCTTTCTAGATCCTCGCGCCGTGAGTCAGATCGCCTATTAACGACAATCGCACGCGACTTCTCACGCTTCCATTGATTGACAGAGTCACTATCGATCGCTAAGTCCGGCGAGTTTGCTCCAAGCTTGCCAGAGATTTTAGCAATCAGTGCGCCAGCCTCAGTCCTTCCATCCGGCTCCGTCCAATTCAAACCTCGAGCCACTTGTGTCCAGTTAACATCAGCATCTCCTGGATCTCCCAGCAGATCTCTTGGCGAATTCCCCGGCGGATCCCTCAGAGGTTCGCCGTCTTTTGCTAGACGTGCGAATCCTTCCGATAGTTCTATCCACATTCGAAAAAGCCGATGCTCATCCCCCAATATGGTAGCCTCTTCAAGGACAACATTGTGGTCCTTCTTCGCCTCCCAACGCGCCTTCCCATCTACGTACAAATATCTCTTGGTTACTCTGCAATTAGAATTTTGGCGCAGAAGCGCCACCGTGAAATGGACTCGCAATTTGAATCGATCTTCGCCCCTAGGGAGAATTTTATCACGTTTCCCATGTAGCGCGCCGAGAGACAACGCCCAAGGAATTCTCCACAAGCCGGTCAAAGACTCTTGAATTAATCCTGGAATGAAAGTTAGCGTGCTTGTTCAGTTATAGACTAACAATCTTACCTGTAGTTCCCGAAAAGTGTTTAAGTTCTATGCGTGGCTTTTGTATTGCCGGAAACCTGGACGTTCCAGGCGCGGCTTTTCTTCCTCGACCTAGAAAGGAGCGTCCAGGCCGAACTGGGAACATAAATTGAAACAGGGCTTCCTCATCAAACTTCGCCCGAGTGTTTTCTTTGATTTTGGCCACCACCCAAATAAGGGAGACCGTAGAAAGGCCAACATCAAAATTTCCGCCTCCGATATCTGAGTGACAGCCAGCAAACGCGCACTGAAATATCTTCGTAGAATCGTTAGCACTCGCGGTCCACTGCCTCGGCTCGAAGCTTCTGCGTTTCTCATCCAGAGCTAACGCAAAAATGGCATTCTCGACACTCCCCGGCACTTCTTTGTTGACGAACGAAAATCTCTCTGGCCATAGCCTGACTGGACTTCCAATAGCGCTCACGGAGTCCCATTCAGCAAGAACCTTAATTTTCGTCGTTTTCCGGAGACTGGCGAGGGCTGTCAACTTCTGGGTTAAGTCTCTCCCCAGTTTTACTTTCTTGTCACCGTCAGCCCTGCCCCATTTCTTCCATGACTTGAAAAGAGTTCGGAGGAACGGAAGCCCTTTACGGCGCAATAGTCCAACCTTGTCGATAAAGTTAGCCAGGCATCGGACTGTAAAGGCGCCTCGAGAAAATCCGGTAAGGATGATTTCGTCCAACCCCGATGCAAAGTTGAAGTTGTTACAAATGAAGCAGTAGGCGTTGAGGATGTTCGATGTCAGCCCTCGAGGGAAATCAGCATACTCGATTCGCACCACAGGCTATTTTGATAGAGACGGTACCTTTTCCTGTGAGCCCGGAAAAGCCACGTTCGATATTGAGCGCGGTTTGACCGCCTATACCACTAGAGTAGTAGACGATTTGCCGAACAAGACCGACATAAGTATTTTCCTGTTCTCCATGCTCTCTGTATAGTTCTGCTCCCTCCACCAGCATGTTGGTGTCGCGGCCCAATCGGTCGACGGCTCGCGCAAGCTTCGCGACATTTGTCAAGGGTGTCATCGTGCCTGAAGCATTCTGCCACGTGCCATCACAGCAGATGAAAAGTCGCTTCTTCTCATAACCTTCGATGAGTTTTCTCAGGCTCTTTTCGTCTTTGTGGTCATCTTCATGTCTAACATGGGTTCTGTCTTCGGTATGGCCAGCAGGCCTCACGTCATTTTCGTCGCTGGAGTAATCCTCATTTCTAATATAAGCTTTGTCATCGACATGGCGAGAAAAGACTCTGGCGGGGTTCCGGTTCCTTTCGTTGCTGCGATAAAGCTCAGGTCGCCTCTCGTAATCACTCTCTTCAGGGCACTGATCGAAGTGAACACGGACTTTGAGCTTGCGATCTTGATGGGAACCTGCATCGTTCGCTTGAGGTTCCGGCACAATCCGTTCCAACTCCTCGTCGCTTGAGGGAAGCGGTGACGATGGTGCGTCGTGGTATTCAGATACAGGGGAAATGGACCCAGATGTGCCAGAACCGCACTGGTGCCCTGTGTTCCGACTACGGCTGGGTGATCTTGATTGATCCCCTAAGCCGTGACGATATATGGTGATAGGACGGTGCCCACGGCGTATATCACTTAAAAAGGCTTGTCTGTCCTTGTCTCTGGCCTGTGAACGGGACATGTTGAAAGTTGTGAAGGAAGACGCGGACGACTTATGAGAGATAGCCAGATAGGTCTAACGAGTCAACACAACCCGAGAGATAAGTGTACCAAATTCTTGGCCTTCATGCTGCCTCGGCAATATGTGGAAGGAGAGCAGCTTTATACCTTTGAAAGGCAACCAAGCAGCTGGTTCCTTTTCCCAGTCAAGTCAAATCATTTCAAATCCGGCTCGCCAACTCTTCTCCCGTAAGCTTTCACAACGTTTTAACCAGTCAGGTGTTTACTTTTGATATGATGAACTGCATGAGGTGCCATATACATTGGGTGAACTCGCATTGGCCAAGATCAGGCTGCGTCCGAACCAGGAGTTGTGGGTCCATGATGCTAGCACTCGACCCAATGCAAGACCGACACGTTTAACCACCTTACAAATTAGTCCCATGCCTCTGCAGCACAAACTACATGTTGTATAACCCGAGGACATTGAATACACCTCACCCTGCGGGATTTTCAATAGTCCCAACAAGAAGCGACCAATCGTACTAGGTTCCAAGATTCAGCTTCTGCTCAGGCAATCTCATGTTTTGATAGATCAGTGCAGATCCCCTGCAAACATCTCTCCAAACAGGGTTTAATTCCGACGTTTCAAGAGTCTTGATTCGAAGCTTAGATGCGAATCAACCCAAAACGCAGGTGCCATCCTCATAAGCCACTGTCCACCAGAAGCCCTCAAGTCTACTTTTGTCTTTAGCTCGCAAGACTTCCTCAGCCATGATGTGCTCCTCCGGTGTCATCGAACCATGGTCGCTGTCTCAGTTCTTATAAATCAAGAGGACGTCTCGAATGAAGTTCGGATCTAGCTATACCACTGTTTAACTCCATCGTTTTATATTACTAGAGGATTACTATAGTATATATAGACGCTACCCTACCCTCGAATTCCGTACTATTTAACTTTAACTTTTTTTATAAATTACCTATCCTTTTTTCTATTCTACTCTCTCCCTCGTTAAGGGATTATTAAAATTATAATTTTAATAACTTATTAATAAACTAATATTACTATTTAAAAATAAATAACTTATATTTATATATAAGTACTAAAAGTCTTATTATTATAAAAATAATAATAAATATATTAAAATACTTAAAAAAGCTTTTTAATAAACTTTTAATATTATTTAAAATAATAATCCTTAAGCTATAAAAGAAAATTAAAATACTATATTAATATAATTTTATCCGTTTTATTAATATTAATAATACCCTTTTTAATATAAAATATATTAATAATACTTTATAATTATATTATTATACTTTATAAATTATACTTAATATTAATAAGAATTTTACTATTATTTTTTAGTTTATTTTTTAGTTTTTTATTAAAGTTATTATTATAAAGTTAGTTTAATTATTAATATTTTAATAAGTATTTTAACTTAACTTAGAGACTCTTATAGCTCTTAAATATAGGCTTTTAAAAGACTTATAATTAGACTTTTTATTTATTATAAATAAAACTATTATAATTAAAATTATAATACTACTTATAAACCTTAATAATAAATAATTAGTAATATAGTTATTTTTTTTATAATAAGCTTAAAAAAGTATTTTAATTTAAATATTAAGTAAGTATTATATTGTTTTATTAAAACTATATTCTTATACTTATAACTTAGAAAGAATTAACTTTTTTCGATAATAAGGTACTTAGGATCTAGCTATACAGAAGGGCTTAACGTTAGTATGGTTAATAGCATTTAGTTGAGTGAAGAGACCCGGTCTGATTTCGCCAGGACGGATAGGTTGTTATTACCAGTACACATAAAGGATGGATTTGAGATGAAGCAGCCCTAAATCCAGTAGATAGAGAGGTGTAGTGAATATAAGGAGACATCTACGTGTCACTAAAAGGAGGAAGGTAGTTTTTGGAGGCTAGAACTATCAAGGTTGACGCCGCTTGGGATCACATACCACGAGGGGAATGAACCATTCGGCTCGCATAAGTAATTTACCTGACAGGAGTCTCTCTAAGAGAAAGAATAAAATTAAGAAGATAAAATAGCGGACCAACGTCACACAGCCTAGGCTTTAACCACGCCATTGTAATGACTTTCAATGAAAAATTGAAAATCCTTCCCCAATATGAACTTTTCACATACTAACATTGCAAAAAGAGTGGCACAGCTCATCGAGGCAGGACTCTTCTAGCTCTTTCAGCAATGGATCGAGGACCACGACTTCTTCGTACTGTGTACGAACGCGAGCGAGGTACTCGCAAGGTCGTTTGCGGTTGCACGGTTATTGTGTGACGGAGGAATGGCTTCCTCGGCTATCGGGTTCCCGAGCGGTTAGGTAATCGAAAATCGAGGCTAAGGAAGACGTCTTTCCTTTTGCGATGCTGTGATTAAGGGTCCTTCGTCACCTCGCAGAGGTCGGCACATTCCTCGGAGTTATGCGAGTAGTCCATCTTGCTGTGAGTCCAGGCCACGGCCCGAACCATCACAGGCAGGCCTAGACCGGATCGAGGAATGTTACTAGTAAGGGACGTAATGCCCGTTGCGAGCTCTAAGCTATCTTTTGCTCTTATGGCCGTAGTGTAATTTTACGCTTGGGCTAAGTCGGCTAGTTTGGCTCTTTGTTCAGTTTCCTCGATTCCTAAAGATCTCGGACCCTTTCGCTGACCGTGGTGCACAAAATGACTGTGGCACCTCCTACTTTAGGAAACCTTTCTCATATTTGTTGATCCATCAGAGGGCGATGACTTCGACGTGACTCTGCCTTTTCTTTTCTTCTCCCACCTGATTCTTGACGTCCTCCATGTCCATCCTTGCAACCTTTGCCTCATCGCCGTCGAAGACTATGGCGACTTCTTCCAAAGTGAGATTCTTTGTTTCTGGGTAGAAGAAATACACGAACAAGAGATAGCAAAAGTCCAGGATCTTACAGACGGATCAGTTGAGGCACTTATGGAGCTAACCACAAGGCGAGGATCACTTACAGTGTAGAACATGGCCAGTGTCCATGCATGACCGGCTGCTGTGAACTTATCCCAAGCAATGGGGTTGGTATAGCTGAAGAACGCGTCGCATATCAGCATTGAACATGAGCTTGGGAGCCTTACTCATTATGTGATCTCACCTTCCTAGGACGATCAACCCCTTGACAAAAATGGTTGATATGACGCCGGCCTTCGCCCTGAGACTGTATGGCATGATCTCCAATGCGTAGGCTGCCATGACCCCGGTCCACGCGATCTGATACGAGAGACTGAAGAGCCAGATGAAGGCGATTTGGGGGTAGCCAAATCGGGCAAGGTCGTGAGTACGCTCGAACTGGGAGCTAATGATGGTCCATCCCATGTACATAAGCACCATTCCCGTGGTGGCTGTGAGGAATAGTGGTCTTCTACCAAATCGGTCTATGCACAATGAGAAGGATACCGAGACGACGAGAGACAAGAGTGTCTGGCCGCCACTGAGCTGTTGGGTTTGGAAATGAGCCGTCAGAATGCTTCAAGATGGAGGTTTATGATCAGTGAGGTAGATAGATACTCACCAGAACCTTGTTTGTCTGATCGCGAATGCCAGCACCCTCGTAAATCTTATTGGCGTAGTTGGAGAAGAGATTTGTGCCGCTGTACTGAGACACCATCGCCAATGAGATCAACAAAACAACCCTATACCTATTGCCCGCAGTCCGAACAAAGTCGAAGTAGCTGCTGGACTTTTTATCCTGGAACTCAAGAGCCAAAGTCTGTTTCATCTCTCGAAACTCAAATACCACTGTCTCATTTGTCTTATCCCCATTGCCGTGGTACGTGGATAGCATGTTTTCAGCGTCCTCGTAACGCTCCTTGGCAACTAGCCAGCGAGGTGACTCCGGGATCCAGTAGATGAGCGAGAGAACCAAGATGCCGGGGAACGCCTGAAGTATGGTGAGCGATCTCCACGACCAGTCGCCCATGATCCGGATAGTCGCTAGGGCTAGCCAGGAACAGCTGGTCGATCCGACTCCGTACATGCAGTTGACGATGGCAGAGATCTTGGCCCGGTGCTGAGGGTGCGCGATCTCGGCTATCAGGAGACCGGCGCCGTTGAATGAGCTTCCGAAGCCGAGAATGAAGCGTCCGGCCATATACACTTCATGCAAGGATCAATACCCGGACTACTCAACAAAACCTGCGACTCAAAAGGCTGACTTACTCCCTTCGCTGTTTGATAAAGCTCCTATGAAAGCGCCGATGGTCTCTATGACGCAACCGATAATGATGGGCATTTTTCGGCCGTACTTGTCTGCAAAATATGGGCTATGTGAATCTGGGTTTAGCAGAAGTCTCACACTGGACCGCAGCTTGAGTCTTGTGGTCACACTCACACCATCCAGAAACTGGAAAGAGATCCGACATCGAGAATGGCAACGATGAGGCCGAGTCTTCCCCCTGCAGGATGATTGAAGGAACTTTGCCACTGATCCATGACTTGTGAAGTGTTCATAAGCTTCCTGCATCCCTTCGTCATGAGTATCTTGTTGTGCACTGGTGTTTTGGACTCCATGTGCAAGAGAAGGAGCTTACGCATCGAAGCCTGTCGATGCAGACATCATCATCAAGACACCACACCAGAAGTACAACTTCCTCAGTCCAGGGTCCTTCCACCACGTAACTGGTTCGAATTCAGGGGCCTCAGACCGGGCCGCTTGCGCCTGTGCATGTTTGGCGTTGCGATTGAAGATATTTCGGGCCATCTTGCCACGAATTCCAAGTAAAGAAGGTGAGTGCTAGAGCAAATGATACAACGTATCGATCCCATATGTTCATCCGTAGAAGAGGGTCATGGGAGTTTGCTAGCATTTAAGCTCATGGAGTCGACGATCTGTTGGTCGTGACCGGATGGTAATGTAAGAAGCTGAGACAGCCGGACGCTAGGACTGCCGTAACCTTAAATCATCAGAGCATTCCAAAGTTTGTTTGATGTGCTGTTTTCTCACAAGAAGATGGAAGATGATACATGG